TTCCTATGATTTCAGTCTTTTAAAACATTTTCTGCTGATTTGAATTAGTGAATACAAGTAAAACGTGTCTTTGATATTGTGAAAAAATGTTTAGGAACATCTGAAATTATCTTTGTAACACTTTTCCATTTTCTGTTTACACAAAGCAATATCAATCGCCAAAACGCAGCAATATTCAAGCAGTATTTACAACCATTTCACATGTGGAATGATTCTATAGGGTATAAAGAGAGCCTAGATGACATGATCTGATACACAAGTACGAGAACTATGCCACGATTAACAGCTGAATGAAGAGAAAGAACCATTGGGATGGTGCAGATGGGGTCGACATAGAATGCTGTTGCCAACGCCCTCGGATGCCACCGTATCACGGTTATAAGACTTATTTAGGGCTTCAGACAGACTGGGGTCGCCGTAGACAGACCAAGAAGTTGACGTCCACGCATCACAACGCCAGCTGAAGAAAGGAGGGTAGCGTTTCTTTTGGCGTTTAGTGTAGTGTCGGGTACCCAACACTTGCATGGAAAATTATGTTTTTAAAGTTCTCAGATCATTTTGCGAAAGTTCGTTTTCAGTATTTTTGGGGTCTGACAATGCGATGTCTTCTCACACACAATATTAGACGCAGAGGTTAACCTAACAGCAGTTTGTGTAATAATCAATACAGTTTAAGATTCACAATCAAACAGTCAGTACAGTGAGTCAAAAAACCTGACAGCAATAAGAATGTTTCCCAAGAATTCATGTTAAGTCAGACGTGAATAGCTAGAATAGTGAATGTCTTGAAAAAGGCCTGTCTTTATGTTGTAATCCATAATTCTTTCGGAAATTGGGAGGAATTTGGTGTTTCCAAATAAGCATGAAGATCGAACTTATCATATAGATTTGAAACAAGTCCTTAAGAAAGGCGTCGAATTGCCTGTTTAAGTTTTGGCACAGCCAGCTTCCTATCAATTGTCCCATCCAGAATCTTCTCGAACGATTAAACCTGTCATGTTTGTTAACAGCAAGGGTGAATAACCCTCATTATTCCCTGTCGGTAACGGTTCTTCACATCTTATTAATATTTTAATCACTTGCTTCAACTGACAGTTACTGCAAATACATTTTAGTGAGTGAGTGAGTTTAGTTTTACGCCGCACTCAGCAATATTCCAGCTATATCGGTGGCGGTCTGTAAATCTGGGCCAGACAATCCAGTGATCAACAGCATGAACATCGATCTGCGCAACGGGGATACGATGACATGTGTCAACCCAGTCAGCGAGCCTGGCCACCCGATCCCGTTAGTCGCCTCTTACGACAAGCATGGGTTACTGAAGATCAATTCTAACCCGGACCTTCACGGGTCAAATACATTTTACTGCCACTATGATATGTATATATAACAAAACCTTGCTGAATTTTGGAATTCCCCCGCCTTCGCTGCGATGACCTCACTCACTCAATCCCAAGCTTTAGTTTGTGAGACCAGGTTACGATTGGCGCGTGTGTGCAATGCTGTGCATGAACATTGCAATATATACTGGGTCAAAATAAAAAACTTCACAATTCATATTAGTAAATAAAAATATTAATTGTTATAGTATACAGTTTTCGGGGATCATAATATTAATCTCCAGGTATCGACTCAAGAAATGACTCACCACAGCACATTTAAGTCAGCTCAAATTTACATTAATTTCACAATTTCAAAGATAATGCTCGGAATCAAAGGAAGACTGACTGAGTTTGGTTTTACGCCACTTTTAGCAATATTCCAGCAACATCACGGCGGGAGACACCAGAAATAGGCTTCACACATTGTACCCCTGTGGGGATTCGAACCCGGGATCTTCGGCGTGACGGAATCAAAGGAAGAAATAAGAATCCTATTAAAACCGTTATCTACAGACATTACATGTATATTAAAAAACTGTCAAAAAATTAACATTCCAAATTTCGGGTATACATGTATAGCAAGTCAAACTAAGCAGTACTACGACATTACAAAATATATTTATTTAGTTTCTGGTGATAACGATATGTCTGTTACTACTGGTCATCATTACATACTACATGTATATTGAAACGTTGGTTTATGTAACTTGACCTCATTGACTGTTCATTGTAAAGGTCACTGTATTTTAAGCACCTCATGTATGTCAAAGTATGCGTGTTTATACTGTTGTAAATGACAAACCGAACTCTAAATTTGCAAACATGAAAAATATGAAAATAAAAAACAGAAAACAAAACCACTTTAATGCACTGTTCAGAACGGCCAATTCTGCCGCGACTCTCAAATGTGCAGCGTGAACGTGGGGTTGGCATGCTGGAAGCGGGAACGTCAGTAAGTGACGTTGCAAGGACAATAGGGTGCAGCCGTAAGACTGTTCATGATTTCCAGGCTCGGCTGCAACAAACTGACACCACTGCTAATCGCCCTAGTCCAGGTCGACCACGTGTGGCGTCACAGGCGGAGGATCGTCAAATTGTGTTACGTCACCTCCGTAACCGTTTCTTGGCGGTTACAGGACCGCCTCCGTGGTGTAGTGGTTAGAGCGTCCGCCCGGAGAGCGGGAGGTCGCGGGTTCTATCCCCCACCGCGTCATACCAAAAGACTTGAAAATATGGTACTTGTTGGTCCCTGTCTGGCGCTCGGCATTAATGGCTACAACAAGGACTGGTCGGCTCGGAGTCAGTGTAATGTGTCTGAGTGGGGTATTCATGCTTCACTGCGGCATGGTATATCAGTGGGCTAGCACTATAAAACCAGCTTCAGTCTGGACTAGTACAAGCAGCCGCACATACACATACACACGCAAGCACGTCGTCATATGAGCGAAATATTCTTAAGCACGACGTTGAACCCAATTTCACCTCACCTCACCTCACCTCACCTCACCTCACTTCTTGACGGTTACAGGAACCAGACATGAGGTGTTTAGGGGTTGATTGTCGGCACAAACCACCCGAAACCGGCTGAGAGCTGCTCACCTTCGTGTTCGACGACCATATCGCGGAACCATTTTGATTCCATTACATCGACGTCAGCGTTTGCTGTGGGCCCGACGACACCTCTGATGGACTCAGGGAGACAAGAATCGAGTTGTCTTCGGTACTGAATCAAGATTTAGGATGAAAGTGTGGAGGCGACGCCGTGAACGTTATGCTCATCGTTGTGTACAGGACGTTTACAAATTTGGCGGCGGAGTGTCATGGTTTGGGGTGCTTTCTGTGGGATTGCCCGTTCCCGACTTCTGGTTATCTGTGGGAACCTTAATGCTGCAGGTTACCCCGACCAGGTGCTAACCCCCGAACTTATTCCATTCATGGCAGCACATGGTCCACGTCTGCACTTTCAACATGGCAGTGCCAGACCCCATACAGCCATCATACAGAAACAAAGTCAGCCGCGTAACCCGCTCAGCCACCGCGTTCGTTGACTTTGTGTGCTGGCGAATAGGTGCCTGACTCTGAGGGTTTGGGTTCGAATCCCGGATGGGACTCAACCCAAAAAGTACTAGTGTTTGTACTTTACTAAGGAAGTGTAATCCCAAATATAACATATGTTACACTTGACCACTTTCTAAATGGCATCGTGTTATAGTTACCTCTATACCACATTAGTGTGTCCTTTCTTTTATATATTATTTAATACATGTACATATATGATTGTGAAGTTTCTAGTTTGGTTCAGTATAATTAAAGAGGTTTGAACCAATAATCCAAATATATGGCAACTTGCTGAAAATTCAAATGGTGAAAGCTGATTATGTATTTTTCAGGATTCAAAAAGAAAAAGTGCATGTCACGGACCTATTTTGCCTGCAAAATGATGCATTTTGGGTTACTGTCTCAAGAAAATGGTGAAATCGTGAAATTTTGCTATTTTCACTTTTAAAAACAACACAAGAAACTGATTCAGAGATAAAATGTGTTTTCTCTCCATAAATGGAATGTTGTTAAAATGAAAAAGCCATTTCCATCATTTGCTTATTGTCCGTTGTCACTGATGTTCTGTTATAAACTGTACAGTATCAACTATGGTTTCTGCTCACATAACTTCACAAGTCCTGTTCACAAAAAAAAATTAATATTCCATCAACAGCAACATATTGCTGAAGAGTAATTGGAATAATATATAATCTCTCTCTCTCTCTCTCTCTCTCTCTCTCTCTCTCTATATATATATATATATGTGTGTGTGTGTGTGTGTGTGTGTGTGTGTGTGTGTGTGTGTGTGTGTGTGTGTGTGACGTGATGTTAAAGTTCATATAACTTATGAAAGAAATTCTATATGGGGAGGTCACTCTTCATAGTCCTTGGATGATTATTGAGAATAACAATTTGAAACCAAAACGTTTGTCCTATTTCAAAGCAGTGATGTGGGAAAACGAACATTATTTAAAATACATATCCAATATTACTAATAATATAATATATGAGTACATGTATTGCACTCTAAAACCCGTAAAAATTCAAACGAAATTTGTTAGTTTCATTTCTGGAGAGTCCTGAAAGTAATAACACCATTAAAAACAATCAAAAAGGTGACATGGTGATTATATTTTCATACTGCAGATGTCGTGCGAGTTTGGTTCGTTTGTTGCCAAAATGAAAAAATGTATGACGTGTCAGTAACTTATCGAAGACAACAATATCTTAAAAACAAGCCATTATGTCGTGTATTTACAAAGTCTGCGTGACGCAACTCGCCTCGTTATAAGACAGTCCGAAAACAACAGAACGCTCAGTACACATCACGTGATATGAAGCGGCTTGCACAATCGAGGCATTATTTGTTGTTTACATAAAAAAAATCTAGAATATATGAATAATACGGACTGGTTGTCCGTAGAAAGGACTTGCGTCTTTAGATTTTACAGCCCGCTTCAATTAAAAAACTGAATTACCGTACAGACTTATTACTGAGTACGCCTTGGCGCAAGGGGAAGCCGACCGATGGAACGACCGAGCATGACCTTGCAGCTATAATACGTCATGCGGGTCGGGGAATCCCATAATCACGTGACCACGTTCGGGGCAGACGCGAGGCATTCCCCGCCACTTTTGACAAGGTATGTTATTCAGTCAAATATCTGTTTATTGTATTAATTGTTCAGTTGTTACTGAAGAACGGGTTGTAGTGAATTCACTCAGACACAAATCTTTGAATAGACATGCGCCGATTCACAGTGCATGGTGTAATATTAATCACCTCAAAATTACAGCTACCGGAATATCAACAATGACGGTCGCCATCTTTGGAGAAATGGCTTCGATAAATTTCCTGTTTCCTCCGCCTCGATTGAATTTACAGAGTAGACCATGTGCCGTGAATGCACATGACAAAGGAATATGTATCAGATGTGAAAAGGGTTTTGTTGCATGGTTAACCGAAGTCAGTAGATCGCTAGCGGAGGGAAAATCTCGTTTACATCCGATATTATCTCCCCTTTATATCATTGATCCGGACAGTAGATACACATTTTGTAGAGTCAAAACACATAAGAGCAGGCGCCATTTATTCATATTTCTGTAGAACTTTACCAGCCTATTCAGTGGCATGTTTGTGGCGATTACTGTACGTCGTGAATCACAAGAGTTTTTAACATAGTGATTAGTTTTTGAGTACTCACTTACAGAATGCAACTACAAAATCAGTAGAAACCCCACATTAAGATCATAGTCAGACGAAAAACAAGATTTGATACTCACTGTACTTGGCGTTGTCCTTCTGTCCCCAAACAGATTTGTCCACCATGAAATGGAATGGACGTTTCAAATCTTGGTGTAATTTTCCATCTTTGGATTATTTTCTTCAGACAGCAGTGTAACTCTTGCTGTAATGAGGCAGATTACATCACGCAGACATTATAAATACTCAGATTATGACTTGTGTTTACAATAAAGATAGTGACATGTTTTACACAATTGTTTATGTGATAATGGAGAAAATGTCCTAGACCATGATTACATGAAGATACAGGTTCTTTTAGGTTACATCTGGTATGACAGTTCAGTAATGGTTAATAGGAAGGAATGTGTAAACCTTGGACAAACTGCATTGTGGAAAGACTTGCGCCTGTGTATCCCTCCTTCAAGTTTAATTTTTCCATGACCTAAACCTAACCCTTATTTTATGGTTTCTAGTCAAATCATATTACCTGAATATATATATGGTCAATAACATAAAGTCTATCTCATTCCTTATCATTAAAATTTAGGGGGTGATAATGGCGGAAGTCTGACAGAATGTATGTTATACAGATATGAGTTATGATTTGTAATGGTTTGGTCAATGTACGATGTATTTAGGCAGTGTGATTTCCTACATTTCTAATCTACCACCAACAGGCATACTAACCCAGTAGTTATATTTTTCCTTTATTGTTTGGAGAGTTATAAAGTAATTCAGTACCCTATCTTCAAGGCTTACTTTGGGGGTTAGATTCTCGCAAGATAATCTTTAGAATGTAAAGGTTACTGTTCTCTTCTGTAGCATTACAAAAGCTCTGTACACTGTGGTCTACCAGATTAATATAGCTGGCAACCTCTCAGAGTTCCAACTTCCAGTGAGTGAGAAGCTGGGGTCCAGCCAGAGTGCAGTTCCTGGTCAGATTCAGGGCGAATTAGCTGGGCAAAGCCCCCACCCCGAAAAAATTGTTTTTTAGGTTATTTAAAGATGATTTTTATGTCATTTCAGGGCTCGATTTAGTGCTTTGTTACTTGCACTGGTGCAACCCAATATTACTAAGTGCAACCTAGTTTTTAGTCTTACTTGCACTAGGTGCAAGTTAATTTTTTAGAAATAAATCAACAATAAGTCTAACATTATATGAGCAATATACACCTGTCAGCTCATTTTTTCTTCTAAACTTTGAATAAGTCAATAGCATATTTCTTTCTTTACATATTTGCAAAAATAGCAGTGCATCTGGAATTTGGCTGGTGCAACTGGGTTTTTGACTCAAGTTTGTCAAAATATTTCATGATTCCATTCTACAACAATGTTCTCTTAGTACTTGTATAATACTATGTTTTGTTGTTAAAATAAAAAATATTTTAAATTTTGTTTCAATAATGCGTGAGTTGAGAGAGGTAATGTGTGAGTGTATGACATTGAGGTTAAAATGTGTGGGTCTCACTCAGGATGTGTGAGAGTTGACAGGTATGGATTAATTGTAAGTAGGAACAGATGCAACACTTAAATACCTGAGGGTGGAACATTGGTATAGTGTAAGCATGTCACTTACATTTGACAATCAGGTGTTGATTTTAAACACTTAACCCAATTTATTCTGTTCAAATCCACCTTCGGGCCTGATTAACCTGAAAATTACAGCATCTTGGAATCACAGACAAAATTTTGTATATTGTTTTTACAGTTCATGGTTGATTGTAAAATTATTTCAACAAGTATGTAAGAATTGCCGTCAGCATTTATTGTGGTTATGGAAGTATAATATGTGCACATCAGTTTTTACCTTAATACCACAGTAAATGCAAACTCATTTTGGAGTTTATTTTTACCACTAAATAAATCAGCAATAATAACTTCAGAGACTTCTTAACCATGTTCATTCTCAAAGGGCACACTTTTACCTAAAGGGCTGGCTAAAAGGATTGATACTGTGAAATATCATCAATTGGAAAAATAGTATTGATTATTGATTGTGTGAAAGTAAATTTTTGTTTACTTAACGTCACTTAACGACTATCAATCGCTATAATCGATATTGATAGCCACCACTACTTGTTAGTGCTGGAGTGATTAATCATAGGATCGGTTAATCGTTTGATCTAAGTCAAAATAAACAATTGGCGATTACAAATAAACTGCAGATCGATAATCGAAAATAATCATTATTTGGTTGCACATTCATTAGGACATTTTATTCTACACCGAACAATCTGGTCGTCATTGCTTGTTTACTTCTAAAACGGAAGCTGTGTACTACACAAGTGCGCATGCCTCCCCTGTCAACCAATGGCCATGCTAGATATATTTAGATTGGGGTGTCCCTTTCCCACGAGTTGTGATGTTATCTACTAGTATTTTCTAATTGGCTGAAAGGATGAATTCCTTGAGTTGATCTTTGGTATTTGCATACAACCACGTGACAAACCTCACTCACCATGTTCCATTCATGAGTACGCAACAAGACGCCCCAAATGATACAGGTATTTCAGGTTAGCTAATTTTTTATTGGCTGAAAGAGAATTCCTTTAGTTGCATCGATTATTGATCTGACACGAGCAATTATCAAGCTGACAAAATGTAACGATAACCAGGGCCCCTATTCTCGAAACGATCCTAGCGCTCGGATCTCCTAACTTTGATCCTAGGGTCTAGGATAGGTGTCCTACCTTATTCTCGATAAGAATCCTAGCGCAAGGATATCCTAACTTAGGACAAATTCTAGGATATGTTCTGACTTCTCCTAAGTCTATCTTAGTGGAAGTCAACATGGTGTGGTTCTTGTTTGTTCACCAATTTTGACGTTATCAAACTAAATAACTCGCCTAAATTACATTTGAATTTACAACAGCACACAGTTTGCATGAGTTTTTTTGTGTTTATATTATCAATTTATCGGTACGTTCCCCAGATGTTGGGAAATTGGCATAATAGTTCCTATCCATAAACAAGGTAATATAAATAATCCAAATAATTACAGAGGCATAACACTACTGAGCATATTTAGTAAAACTTTCACCTCTATAATAAATAAAAGACTTGTAAACTGGGGAGACTCAATGGATAAGATCAGCGAAGCGCAAGCTGGCTTCACTAAACTCCTGTCCTAACTAGTTAGGATCTGTCCTAGCTGGGACACTTTGAGAATAGGGGCCCAGCTCTAGTACTTGTTGACCTTGTGAACTCTCAGGGGCACATATTAACTATGTTTACAGTTAAGGGCATGTCTTTACTATTCTGACTCAAGGGCACATCTTAACTATGTTTACAGTTAAGGGCATGTCTTCACTATTCTGACTCAAGGGCACATCTTCACTATGTTTACATTCAAGGGCATGTCTTCACTATTCTGACTCAAGTGCACATCTTAATTATGCTAACATTCAAGGGCAAGTGTTAACTATTTTAACTATTTGACTGTTGACACTCAATTGCACATCATAATTATGCTGGCACTCAGGGGCACATCTCCACTTTACTAACAATCAACATGCTCAAGGGCAAACATTTTATCTTCTAAGGGGGCACAGATATCCATTCATATGTCAATTCACTGAACAAATTTTGCACCCCTTGGGCATGCCAGAATCCTATGATCTTCGTTCAATTTTTTTGTTTGTCCCGATTATGTTTCTATGTAAGCCTGCTTTAAGCCAACATCGTTTCATGTTCAAACTGATAAGCAAACACATTCAAAGGGCACATCTGAACTATGTTAACATGTTTATGATAGTTTTTTGACACACTTGGAAAGTACTTTTCTCTCCCTGTTGTTACAGGATATTTTAGAAAAGGGAGACGTAGAAGCTTTCCAGCATGCCGGCAGCTCGTCAGCGCAAACGTGTCGGAGGCGCGGGAGGAGGGAAGAAGATACGGATGACAGACGAACCAGACTTATCGGAGGTTCCAGACGTCCCAAGTGACATCATCAGTGAACCACCTTCAGAGGTTCCTTTGTACGTTAAGTCTAATTTTGGAATGATGAGAATGTGTGCAAATCTGTTGCAGACTTCATTTCTTGCAGATTTTGGAAGACTGAAAGTCGTAATGTTTCACTGATGTGCTTTGTATATTTTCAGACCTGCACCTGAGCCAGAAACAACCGATCCGTTTGAAGAACCTCCTCCAAAACCACCACCCAAGAGAAAGAGAAATCAGAAGAAAGATGATGTAAGTCATTGAATAAGAGATGTTACATCAGTCAAACAACATTTCAGTGGTGCACCCTCTATTTTTGTGGTTGGGAATAGCTGTCACAGCTCAACAAAACAAGTCATCTCCATATAATGCAGGCCTCTAACATGGCAAAGTAGACAGGTTTCAGTATATGAAGTCTGTTTTAATGACACCTGCATTGAACTGTAAGTCTGAAGTTAATACACTAAAAGAAGCTTATTACTTTCCACACATAAGGGAGAAAGTCATTGATAGGCAAATGTTTAAACTGAGAATATTATAGCATTTGAAGCACTGAGGGAGTGATGCCAGTTGTGAAAGAAGCAGTCATAAAATCTCTGTGTGAAGATTACTCAAGATGATGAGATCAAGCAAGATCTTCAGACACCTGCAAAGTCTAAAGACATTTTGAAATAAAATATTTCTTATGTTTTTTAACCATTTTCATTCTCGACAGTGGAAATTTATGAATTAAATTATGCTATGATTGAATTTTAGGCTTGTAGCCTTGAAAATGTTTGGTACAGGCTGATTATCAATCTCGATGAAAATGAATGCTTTCAAAAGTTCAACCATTTGTTGAGCTTTGATGTGAACACATTCTCGGAGTTTGGTGATGATATTCCTTGTTGGCACACTAATTCCATGGGGCACATCTAAAATTGTGCCCTGTTGCACACATGAAAAAAGAAAGTCAGAAAGGGGAGAGAAGAAAATGATATGAGTCAGGATAAGAAAAATTGATTCCCATCCCATTTGCATAGCTGGAATGTGATACTGCCTCAACTCTTGAGCATGTTAACAGATTTGATTTGTTTGTTTCCTGAAATCCACAGTCTGGTAAGAAGAAGAAGGGAGATGGAGCAGGTCCTCGCCGTGGCAAAACGGACGACGATTTATTGGAAGGGAGTCTGTTTGATGTGGTCCGAGCTGGCAAAGCATCGTTACAGGTAGGTCATTCCAGGTATTCAATGAATTACAGGTGTTCGACATTGAATAACAGGTATTGTTTAGCAAAGTCCCGACTTCACAGTTGGCCAGGGCTTTGTTTGGAGTCCAAAATACAGCAGACCTGATCTCGGCTCAAATTGTTTATTCAAGCATGATGATGTAAATATGCCTGTTTGATGTAAACTGTCAAGTTAATCAAACAAAATTGTATATTGTAGAAGGTCCTGAACTATTACTCATGTTAGTTTGCCCACTAGCATGTTTACTCACTTAATTCTCATCTTTGACATGTGACATTGTGTTGCAGGCTGTTGTGGACGACTGGATCGAGTCCTACAAGGCAGATAGAGATGCAGCTCTTCTTGATCTCATCCAGTTCTTCATCCAGTGCTCTGGATGTAAGGGGAAGATAACTCCGTATATGTACGCAAACATGGAACATGCAGAGATCATCAGGAAAATGACCGAAGAGTTTGATGAAGTATGTGTTGGAATGACTTTTTCAAATTTAGCATATCGATTTATTCACTATTTCTTTCAGGAATTCAGTAGAAGTTAATAATGCTAAGTTCAGTTAGATGTTTTAGGACTGCATGACGATGGCCCCTTTAATGACATTCCAAATTTTGAACACTGTTTTTGTCGCCTGCTGGAACATACGACTGTTGCTAGAAACAGCATGAGATCAACCTGATCAAGGTGGTTCAAGGAACTTCAGTTTGAAGTGCAGAGTTGTGTCCCCTAGGCATGCCAGGAGCCTGTGGTCACTGGTTGAAGCCCTGATTAGGTTTCCAGGTTTGTCAGCATCACTCCATGCTCATGGGTTTCACCAGTCTAAACTTGCAGCACTTTCCACATCAAGCTTACATGGTGTGATATAAACCTGTTAAATTCAAAATTAAAATGGGTCTTCAGTAACCCATGCTTGTCGTAACAGGATCAGATGATCAGGCTCATTGACTTGGTTGACACATGTCATCATATCCCAATTGTGTAGATCGATGCTCATGCTGTTGATCACTGGATCGTTTGGTCCATACTCAATTATTTACAGACCGCCACCATTTAGCTGGAATTTAGCTGGGTGCTGCGTTAAACAACAAACAAACGAAAAGCGATCACATCTGAGCTTGAAAGAAAAGCGTCCTTGTCATATCCCAAGTGTTAAAAAATTTAAGGCTCAGGGGTTCTCTAGATTTTTTTTCAAATGTTGGCACCACTAGGTTTTCCCTTAGTTTGAAACACTGTGTTCTAAAGTACTTCTCAAACCAGTGTTAACCTGAACTCACTCGCTCACCTTTCAGGACAGCGGCGACTACCCTCTGATCATGAGTGGGCCGCAGTGGAAGAAGTTCAAGCAGAACTTTAACGAGTTTGTTCAGGTGTTGGTTCGTCAGTGTCAGTACAGCATCATCTACGACCAGTACATGATGGACAACGTCATCTCGCTGCTCACTGGACTCACCGACTCCCAGGTTCGAGCCTTCCGACACACCAGCACACTTGCAGGTAATGTTTCAATAAATGCCAGGTATTGTCATTTTGTTCAGGCAAAGATATCTACACATGCCCTGACTCTTTAGGATGGGGTAGGGTAGCCTAGTTGTTAAAGCTATTGCTCGTCATGCCAAAGACCTGGCTTCTATTCCCCTCATGGGTACAATGTGTGAAGTCCATTTCTGGTGTCCCCCCTGCCCTTATATTGCTGGAATATTGCTAAAAGTGGCGTAAAGCTTCACTCACTCACTCACAAGTCACTCACACGTCACTCACACACACCCACTCACTCACTCAAAGGGAGGGGTGGGCTTCATTTCCAGAGCACAACTCGAAAATTGTTTAATATCTTTCGGCAAAACTTGGCAGATCCCAAATTGGTGCCTTTTGCTATTTGCAGATTTTTAGGATTTTTATTTTTTCCTGGTTTCCATGGTAACAATTTGGACTTAGTCTCAAAAGATAGGGGCGGGCTTCGTTTATGGAGCACAACCCAAAAACTGTTCAATATCTTTCAACAAAACTTGGTAGATATATCAAACAGAACTTAAAGTGGTGCCATTTGCTATTTACAGATTTTTGTCATTTTTATTTTTCTCGGTAACCATGGAAACATGTTGGTCTCAAAAGGGGTGTGTGCTTCGTTTCCGGAGCACAACTTGAAAACCTTTCAATATCTTTGAGCAAAACTTGGCAGATCCCAAAGTGGTGCCTTTTGCCATTTACAGATTTTTGTCATTATTATTTTTCCCAGTTTCCTTGGAAACAATTCGGACTGAGTCTCAAAAGGGAGGAGTGGGTTTCATTTCCGGAGCACGACTTGAAAACCTTTCAATATCTTTCAGCAAAACTTATATAAACATAGAGATTTATCTGGGTTACATCTACTTTTTTATTAATAAAAAAGAAGATGTAACCCAGAAAAATCTCTATGTTCATCAAATATCATCTTCTAAAATGCCAATCAAGCATCTAAAACTTATATATATATGAGGCAGATCCCTTAACTATTTACAGCTTTTTGGCATTTATATTTTTCATGATTTCCTTGGAAACGATTTGGACTTAGTCTAAGAAAAATCAAGTTGGAATTTAAGTAACTGTCAGATGACTTGTTCTTTCAAATATGTTGGGTGGGGTAGCCTAGTGGTTAAAAGCGTTGGCTCGTCACGCCGAAGACCCTGGTTCGAATCCCCACATGGGTACATTGTGTGAAGCCCATTTCTGGTGTCCCCGCCGTGATGTTGCTGGAATATTGCTAAAAGCGGCGTAAAACCAAACTCAGTCAGTCAAATATGTTGGGTCCGGGGGGATTTGTCATCTTCTGACTTTCGATTCCTAATTGTATGATGATGGTTACAGCCATGAAACTGATGACGGCACTAGTGGACGTTGCCCTCAATCTCAGCATCAACCTGGACAACACTCAGAGACAGTACGAGTCTGAGCGTGCCAAGCAACAGTCCAAGAGGGCCACTGACAGGCTGGATCTACTCATGACTAAAAGACAAGAGGTATGATATCTGTGTTATGTCCCTTCTCTTTGTTTGATAACAATTTAGAAACTGTATATGAGTACTTTTCTTACCATGTTTAGATGGTTTTAAAAGTGAAAATCATTGGAAAAATATATTGTAATATAGGCAGGTTTGTTCTCAAAAAGGCAGAGATAGGTGAAAGTATTATCTTTGTATAGTTTCAAGATTGTGCTCACATAATAAGCATATTCTTTGACTTATAATATTTTATATATAGTTCAGCCACTCTCATAATATCACACTTCCCAATCTTACTTTTTAGTTGGAAGAAAACCAGGCCGAAATCAGGAACATGTTGACGTACATCTTCAAGGGCGTGTTTGTTCACAGATACAGGTAAGTCTCAACATTGCTGTATTTGATATCGCAGAAAACTGTTAGAAGTGTTATGTGGAGAGCAGTAGACTGGAGTGTGTATGAGGAAATATTGATACTATTCTGTGATTGCAGTTTGTTTTTCTGAATTGGCTGCTCAGTGTCAAAATTTGGTGTTTGTGGGTTTGAATCCCAGATGAGTTCCGATTGATACATGGTTCCTCATCTCCATACCTGTCTGCGGTTTCATTTCATTCTTTCTCCTACATCAAGGTAAAGGAACACTGCAATGAAGTGACACGTGAAGCCCGGGTTAGAATTGATCTTCAGCAACCCATGCTTGTCGTAAGAGGCGACTAACGGAATCGGGTGGTCAGGCTCGCTGGCTTGCTTGACACATGTCATCGGTTCCCAGTTGCGCAGATCGATGCTCATGCTGTTGATCACTGGATTGTCTGGTCCAGACTCGATTATTTAAGACAGACCACCGCCATATAGCTTGCATATTGCTGAGTGCGGCGTAAAACCAAACTCACTCACTCACTCACTGCAATGAAATGTGTTCCCTTACTTGTTTCCCTCAGTATATTTGGGAGTGAATGAATGTGTTTGACATATACTACCCATCAAAAGTTTAGACTCACTTAAAACACTCACTAAATGTTATGGACATATATATGGTTCCATCGAAGATTGATATCTCCACTAGCTTGGGGGAACCAACTGCAAACCTTATGCAGATGAATTGCACGAGGATCATGCAACAAATTGCTGAAAAGCATGTGCAAATATCGTGCATGTGAACGACTGTGTTTCGGTGTAAAGTTTTGTTAAGAATTCGCCAATTTTCACTGATTTTCATCATTTATTGAACTCATGACAATAATCTTTTCAACATGACGAATTTTGTACAATACATCTGTTCATGTGTAAACAGTGCCTTTGGAATATTTTGCAATTTTTTTTCCTTATCCTGACTCATGATTATTTGTGCGGGAAAAGGGAGGCAACTCGTGGGGGAGAGAACTTTTACATCCGCTTTAGGGAACTACAAGGGATTCAAGTGTTCCACTAACATTCGCATAGAAGAAGGAGATAAGCAAAAGATCATGAGTCAGGATAAGGAAAAAATATCAATTTTACTTAAAAAATTACATTTTAGTTTAGAACAGTTGCCTGAAGTAAGTGGCTATATTTACCCGAGTGAGTCTAAACTTTTCATGGGAGGTATAAATTGACACTGATTGTACATGCAGATCCTATTTCTGCATTGTCAAGTCAATGTTTCCGGGCAAACTGTCAAAAGCAGCATTGAAACCCCAAACTCACTCAGTCTGGTCAGCTGCTGCCATGGATTCAGGGGAGATAACAATTGAGGGGAAAATCACTTTCACATTTTTCCTGTTTTGTCAATTTCAAAGGGTGACATTTGTGAATGATTTTTAAAAATTTAAGGGTAAAGGATATAAGTTATAACAAATTTTGTTACAATTTTTTACCTGATCCACAGGAACAAAGTTGTTTTTGCAATATGTATCATTTAAAAAGCTTATTGCAGTATACTTGCAATACTACTTGGTCCTGTTAGTTGCAAAGCATCATTAATCTCATCTCCGTCACTGAGTATTGATGCTGTTACAGAGACACCCAACCTGAGATCAGATCTATCTGCATGATGGAGATCGGCGTATGGATGAAGAAATATCCCTTTATGTTCCTCGACGACAGCTATCTCAAATATGTCGGCTGGCTGCTGTATGACAAGGTTGGTTACCATTCTGGCCATAGCTGTAATTATTCTGAAACATGGTAGTTTCTCAGCATCTACGTAGCTTGCGGGTCAGTGTGTCAGCTATAGAAACAAAGTTTGCAAGTTCCGTCCTTTGAACTGTACATCAATGATTCATGCTGCACGTTTCCTTGTGTCTATTGTGACATTCCAGATGTTCAGGTCCTAAAGAGGAATACTGGGCACACCCTTTTTTTTTTAAGCAATCTCATCATGTTTATACACTTACAAACATGTATAAAAAGTTTTATGAAATTGTAAAAAATATACGAGTTCTGGTTGTATTGGGATAACAACCACAAAATGATTCCCAAATTTTTTGCAGAAGCTTTATATTTTTAGTGCGCACACCATGAACAAAAAGTTTGAATATTTATGTTATGTTGCCATTCCAGGTTGGTGATGTGAGATCGTGGTGTTTGAAGACCCTGTCTCCACTCTATGATTCCTACGATCTGTCTGGAAAACTGGAACTTTTCACCAACAGGTTCAAGGTAAGCTGAAAAACAACATACATGTTTCATTATCAATGCATCATCAGTCCCAACAAATTTGTGTTTGCTACCTAAATGTCCCATCATGTATTTCGATCTGACAGCTTAACAATCCATGATTATTTTGGTAAGAATAGGTCCCTAGTAACGCCTGGTTGCTGTAAGAGTTGACCAAATGGGTAGACGAACATGTTGGTGACTGTGTAGATTGCTCTTCTGCTGGGTTTTTTTTTCCGTGTCTCTATGATGTTGACATGTTGAAAACCTGGGATAATATCACATCTGCAGGTTTAGTGACCTTTTTTCAAGTGTGTAAGACAAGACAAAAGAAATGTCTGGCCTAATATTCTGAGATTAATTTTCTCCCCCTTTCCATCAGGACCGTATTGTTGAGATGACTCTGGACAAGGAGTATGATGTTGCTGTGCAGGCTGTCAAGTTGGTGGTCAGCATTCTCAGGTAAGGGCAGATGGATGGATGGATGGGTGGGTGGGCGGATGGATGGATGGGTGGGTGGATGGATGGGCAGATGGATGGATGGGTGGCAGATGGATGGGTGGGCGAATGGATGGATGGGTGGGCAGATGGTTGGGAAATCTGATATGGACTGGATTGTACTTTATATCAGCAATGAGTTTGTATGATAAATTATAGATACAAGCTTAAATTTTATCAATGATTCCAGCATCAACACTCTTTTACGTTTAACAGAATGCACATTGGATGTTATTTTTATGTATTATGGATACAATGTTTTCTAAAACTCTGTTAGCTATATTATTCCTTTGACGTTGATTATTTCTTATCATTTTTCAAATATTTTAATTTGTGTTTTCAGGTACAGTGATAATGTGTTGTCAGACAAGGACAGCGAGAATGTGTACGAGTTGGTTTATTCATCCCACCGTCAGGTGGCGCAGGCGGCCGGGGATTTCCTCAACACCAAGCTCTTCAAACGTGACGACGAAGCAACGAAGAATCTCAAGTCGGCTAAGGGGAAGAAACGGAGTCCCAACACTCCACTCATCAGAGACTTGGTGCTCTTCTTCATCGAGAGTGAGGTGAGAATAACTCGTATTCGCATTAGGAATCCACAATTTAATGGTCTTAGTAGGAGGCTGGTATTTTCTGGTTGAGTGTGAGTCACTATGGTTGTACGCAGCTTTTAGCACTGTTCTGGCACTATCACTGCAGCGACAGCTGAAATGGGCTTCACACATTGTACCCATGTGAGGAATTGAACCAAGAGCTTCAGGCTGATGAGTAACGTTTTAACCGCTAGGCTACCCCATCACCCTTTGTTAATGAGAATATACTGCTCAAAGCAATTGAAGGACCATTTGAATCATGTTGCTATGGTTAATATGTCATGTTTTAGTATTTGACTGCATTTCAACACGCATTGATAATTGATATGATCTCAAAACACTAAGATAAGATGAGTAAGTTAGTGAGTTTAGTTTTACGCCGCACTTAGCAATATTCCAGCTATATGGCGGCGGTCTGTAAATAATCGAGTCTGGACCACAAAATCCAGTGATCAACAGCATGAGCATCAATCTGCGCAATTGGGAACCGATAGCATGTGTCAACCAAGTCAGCGAGCCAGACCACCTGATCCCATTAGTCGCATCTTACGACAAGCATGGGTTACTGAAGATCGATATTCTAACCCGTACCTTCACGGATGAGATATGATGACGAGTATATGACGACAGTGGTTGTTTTAGCTCCACGAACATGCGGGCGTACCTGGTGGACAGCCTGTGGGAGATCAATGAGATGATGAAGGATTGGGAGTGTATGACTGATCTGCTGTTGGAGGAACCTGGCAGAGGAGAGGAAGGTACGTTTGTTCATTCATCCTTTTGATTAATCCTTCTTTGTTTGCTCATTCATTCATTCTTTCTTTCATTAGTTCTGTATCGTGCAGTCTTGGAACATGCATGTTTGCACCACACAGTACAGTGATAAAGTTGAACATTGATCTATGTTAACGGGATACCATGTCAGTTGGTCTGTTCTAACAAAGATCTTCACCCGACACTTTTACATTCACAAATATATTTGAAGTAGGTATTGACATCAAGAGACAATGGCACAGTGATGTAAGGTAGAGATGTGCCCTTTACATGTGTCCGAATTCACTCCGTTTGAGGGCATTTGTCTGTCGATTTCTTTTCACCATTGATCTGAAATACTTTGATAAAACTAAAATCTGGCTTTAAATAACATTTGCCCGACACACTTTCAAACTCGCGTTCTCGTTCACTCAGTAGAACTCAAACCCTTTCACTTCCTCACTCGTCACTCACTCACTGAGGAATGTATGGTGAACAATCAGTATGATACCAGCCTGTTTAACCAGGAGTTAAGCCATTATCCTGGGATATATACACCACAAATACTGATTCTGGTTCCAGCCCTGGATGACAGACAGGAGACAAGTCTCATTGAGATCATGGTGTGTTGTGTGAAGCAGGCAGCAACTGGAGAGTCTCCTGTTGGCAGAGGACCCAACAGGAAGGTATGTGATAACAGTCGTAATGTTTCGAACTCTGTGGAATATAGCATATTGAATAGTGCTTCATCCTCTGAAGTAAGGGAAATTAGAACTATTAATATGTCTCAATTCTGAACCAAAAAAAGACATTCCCTATTTGTCTGCCAAGTCCTCATAATTTAAAATCCTAGATAACCTCTTGGATTCCCTATTACACAGACAGGACATGCTCATCCCCAGATTTTTGTATGTAAGACAGTAAGAACAAGTTGAAATGGGGGTAGGTACTCATGCCCTGAAAATTCTCTGTACTCAGGCACTCAGCTGTCTGTATATTCCTGAAATGAATCAAGTACCACTCTTAAGTTGCTGTGCAACAGCAAGAGTAAAGCTTATTATGGCATAAAAACCAAAAAAATGTGATTGGCCAATTGTGTTGCTAGCTGACGGCCAAGGAAACCAAGCAGGTGCTTGAGGACAAGACGAAGCTGACGGAACACTTCATCGTCACTCTGCCGCAGCTGCTGCTGAAGGTAGGGAGCATCCTCTGAAATAATCATTTGGTTCTCTGGAAGGGTGAGTGAGTGAGTTTAGTTTTACGCCGCACTCAGCAATATTCCAGCTATATGGAGGCGGTCTGAAAATAATTGAGTCTGGACCAGACATTCCAGTGATCAACAGCATGAGCATCGATCTGCGCAATTGGGAACCGATGACATGTGTCAACCAAGCCAGCGAGCCTGACCACCCAATCCTGTTAGTCGCCTCTTACGACAAGCATGGGTTACTGAAGGTTCGTTCTAACCCAGACCTTCACGGGTTTTCTCTGAAAGGGTTGCATTGTTGTCAATGTTTGATATTTGTAACTTATTATTTTTTAACTATGAAAATTGTTACCGATTGTTAGGAAGATACTTTTTGCATTTGACCACTTTCTGAATGGCACTGTGTGTTCGTAAACTATACCCTGTTTCACCACAGGCCCTCGTGTCTTTGCAAGGATTAAAGATTTAAAAAATATTGTTTTTGAGAGACCTCTGGGTCGAAATGTTTCACAGTACAATACATTATGACAAGGCCAGACACTTCGGTGTACCCTACCCGCCTGCCTTGCAGATCGCTACTCTACCATCGCATGCAGTCAATTAAAACTTAATGTAAACATAATCATGGATGATTGGCCTATTGATCACCACTCATGACACCTACCAATTCTTTATTGTTATTTCTGGAAGTTGATTGAAACCCGATTTTGACTCTCAACTAAACGATCTTGACACAAATGGATGACGATATAGTCGCACAAAACGGGGGTGGGGGGGTGGTTTTCGAAGCATGCCCTCTGGTTGGTTGATGTTTGTTAAGGAGACATTTACAAATGATGCTTTCTTTTGAGAAGCCATTGCTGCAAAAACAATCTTACATTTCTTCCAAGTCAAGCAGTTGTTGAAAGTAAAAATGCACCCGAATTTACAATTTACAGATTGACAAGCGTTGACCAATCAGAGGACTTGCTTCGACCACACCCCCTATTTTGTGTGGATAACAATTTGAATAGCATATTGATATTTTTCTGTATAAATTCTCTCTTTTTCCTATACTACTTTCTTGTCCACTATCTGTCATCTTTAGTTGCGGGAATCTAAGTTACCTGTGTACATACCAAGTAGAGGGTATTCTAAGTTATTCTAAGGAGAGCTTGTTCCTAATCCTTTTTTCTGTGAATAAAATATGTTTAAAACAAAACTTGCAGTACCTGATGGACCCAGAGAAAGTAGCCAATCTGCTGCTCATCCCCCTGTACTTTGACCTTGACATCTACACATCAAGTCGGCAGGAAAAGGTAACAAGAAAATATTTCTTCCTGTTTTTCACAAGAAAATGTTTCACATATGGAGCAAAATGGGTTACTGTGCCTGTTCCTGAAGCATACTAATCGTGTTGCTGAATACAAAACGTGTCACTAAATCATTTGTTTTCAATAATAAAACAATTATTACCTTTGTTGTTTTTTTATTTCGTATGTGTTACCAATTTCATATGTCAAGAAAATGTTTTCCCCAAAGCTATTTTAAAGCCGGTGGTTTACATTGAGTTAAGTACCGTATGTACCTTATAGAGGACGCTGCTTCTACAAGCACATCCTGAGCAATGTGTAGGTAATATTTATGAATGCCCTCACTATGGATTTCCTTGTATGCTTATTAGGACAAATACAGTAACTGCTTTCTGTGAAGATCAGGTATTTGTGTTGATTTCTCTAACAATGTCTCCTTCCATTCCAGCATTTGGAATTGTTGTTGCGTTATCTACAAGAAACTGTTGACAAGCACACAGATACAGAGGTAAGAGGAGCAACTCCTGCATGGCATTGGTGTGTTGAAAGGAGGGTTTTATGTTCAGGTTTTGCACAGACATTAAATTGTTCGCAGGACATGTTTAACTCCATTTGCCACAGAGAAGTGAACGTAAGAACATGGTAAGAGCATGCCCTGTGAGTGAAAAGCAGCATCATTCAAAGACGTGAAAAGATGGTACTTGTTGTTACAGTGCCTGTTACTAATCATTTGGGAAAGAAAAACAAGACTCTTCTGCTTGGAGTCAGTATACTGTGTCTTGAGTGCAGGGTATCTGAGTGGGCTAGCATTATGACTGGATGGATGGATAGGGTGGGTAGAAGGCATGGGGGGGTTGGTGTGTGTGTGTGTGTGTGTGGTAGAAGGCATGGGGGTGGTAAGGTTGTGTGTGAAAGGCATGCCCTGAAACTGTAAAATATGAATTAGTAGACATTTTTGAAGATTGGTTCCTGTTTCATGTTCCTAAGGTGCTGGAGGCGTGCGCCAAGTGCTTCGAGTATTTCTGCAGCGACGAGTATGCCGTTGCTGGCAAATGTGATGTGGCGAGGAAGACTGTTATTGACGGTCTTACTGTAAAGTTCAGAGAAGCTTTGCAAGACTATTTCACAGAGGTAGGTACAGATGAGGCATTCAAGAGAGCACTGTGTATTAAGCCAATGATCCACGTGTGCTTAATGACGATAAATTCTACTTGAAAAGGTGCTTTGGGGGCAGGTAGTCTCAGCAGTTTTATTTAGATGAGTTTGGTTGCTTTTCCATAAAAGGCATATTTATCATCATTTGTGATATTCAAGTTAATGACTTGCACTTAATCAAGAGATGGAATTTGGACTAAAGTATCATAATTTGTATCTTAAATGCAAAATATTTGAGATGATTTTCCATGCAACTGTAATATGTGCCTAGGGGTCCCGCGAAATACAGTGTTTGACCAATGGAATCATTATGGTATTGCAGATTAAGTATACATGTCAAAATGTACTGACAGTTTTGTACTAAGACTTGCAGCTGGAGTTTAGATTACCCTACTCTGTGTTTTGGTCAAGCTAAATACAGTTTTTATTTCTATATATAGGATATTACCATCCATAAAACACAAGTATGATAAAAGCTGTATCAAGTCATTCTTAAAATTCTATCATCTAAAAATCGCACAATGGTACCTAAACCACAATTTTTTTCTGTAATGTGTATATTAATATATTACATCACAAGTTCAGTGACTAGCCAGCCTTTTTATCTATTTCTGCCACTGCCTATCATTACAAATACACAGCAACCTCTACTACCTCACTTCAAACATTCAAAACGATGTTAAATGTCCGTCATTAATTACTTCTAGGGGGAGCAACCAGATGATGATGAAACCTTCGCTCTGGCGGCCAGCTTAAAGAGGATGTATGCATTCAACAGGTCAGTCTTTAGCTCTTATATTTCTATAGCATTATGTCGTTTAAATTTACAAAAAAGTCTGGAGTCTGGAAACCAACAGAAATATGTCTTGATTGGCAGTCAACAGTACTGCGTAATTTAAGAAATGGACTGCTTGACCCGTGTCCTACCCATTTTCTTTTGCATACGAAATGTCATGTTGAGCAAAATGTTCAGGGTTTTATCAAAAGTCTTTCAGATAGGGGTCAATCTGAGTGTAATATTTGTGACATCATAAAATTGATTGTTACTGGTTTTGACAGTGCAGCAGTAAATCAACCGAAGTCTGTATAGTCTACACTTGCAATATGTAATGGTTATTGCCCTCAGTGTCCTGTTTTGTTAACAGTGCTAAGAGCAACATTAGACTGAATCACTTTCTCCTACTATATGGAATGTTGATTTTTGAGTTTCCGGAGATAAAATGAGCTATTGTATTTTTCTTTATCCTGACTCATGATCTCCTTCTTCTATGCGAATGTTAGTGGAACACTTGAATCCCTTGTAGTTCCCTAAAGCGGACGTAAAAGTTCACTCACCCACGAGTTACCTCCCTTTTCACGCGCAAACAGTCATGTGACCAGCCATGCTTGTCACTCTCTCCTTCATCGCCCAAGCGATGTGTATGGTTTTAACTAGCTTGCATTATATGTATACTTATTTCATCGTTATGTAATTGTTTACATTTGATGAAATCTTGCAGTGTTTGCAGGTTCCGGCTATCAGTGGCTGATCCTCACCCCCAATGCCCGTCATGCATTAATCCATGTTCTTCCACCTTGCGTTGTAGATATTGCATTTAATTATCAAATTTGCGATTCAATCAATATTTGTCTTACATCTATAGACGTGCGATGGATCGGGTGAGGAAGGCATCACAAATCACTGTTGATAAATCCGGAGAGCAAGCCGGTAATCGTATGTTGTCTGCTACTGCCGAAATACATAATTCAGGTGTTTTGTCGAGTATGTTGCAGGGGCAGTCATCTGTTACTGGGTCTAAGAAGGGGGCTGCTACGACCGAGTTGACGACAATGCAGAATAAGAAGAAGACGTCTTCATCATCTGCAACACAGAAGAAGTCATCTGCAACTAGATCGTCGTCGAAATCAACTCGTCCCAGTAAGACAACACATCAGAGGTCGTTTAATGAAGAGATTGTCCCGCCTGGCGAAGCAGACGTGTTTGCTGAAGTACCTATTAGACCTGCCAGAACAGCGACACAATCGACCTCCACGACGACGCGATCGTCTCCTGCAACTACGACAGCTGCTCAGCTGTTCGACAACCAACCACCAACTACGCAGACGTCAGTCATCAGAGACAACATCAGCGAAGTAGATGCACACAACACCTCAGCTTTTCGCGAACGCTTCGTCCACGCCGCATCAGTTCCAGACAACGCAGAACTTCGATCCGGGCGACTTTATGAGACAGTTTACTACGCAGACCCTCGGACCTTCGCAAACCTGATAGACCTACATCTACGCCTCACATGTCTACAACTGAAGATAACGTTCGTGAAGGTCCTCACACTCAGACGACTAGTCATCATGATTGAAGATGGAAGGTTCACAAACGTCCCTGAGACTACGAGAGTTACGTCTAGGAACATCTAGGAAGCCCTCTCCGAGATCCAGCCGTTCCACATCTAGATCCCGCAGCCCTCACAGACGTTCGGAGGAACGTTCGCGAAAGAAAGGATCGCGAGCGGAAGAATCACGAGATGAAGGTTCGCAAAAGGAGGGTTCGTGAAGGCACAGTTCAACTGACTAGGTACTATCTGATGAACAGGATGTCTACGTCTTCTCAGAAGCGGAGGTCACATCTTGGATAGCTAATGGATTGGAGTCCCCCTCCAAGAAATCGGATGAAACATGCACATATAAGATGTGGAAGGACGACGTCGACTCTCTTACGATTCCACCAATTGAACCGATATCCAAGGTGGCTACAAACCTACGCATAGCTTTTGAGAAAGGAACTAGTTATCAACATCTACCATCATTCAACGCGAGGAGGTTTCCTCTACATCATATGGATCCCTTCATGAGAGCGCTGGACTTAGACGACAACATGAAGTTGGTTAATGACTCACGGAACAAGGCCTATAAGGTGGAGGATAAAAAGTTGGCTCAACTCGACACCCATTCTCTTCCCACAGAGGTTACTCCTATCATATCTTCCTACGTAACCTCTGTTCTAATACGGCCCTTTCATGGTGTGAGCGTTCAAGACTCGTGATTGGAGGTAATCAGATTTAGTTGTGCAATCAGCAACGTTGTTTCAAAAGTGATCATTCGCAAGGCCTCGGTAATTTCCGTATACTTCGAGAAAACTAAACCTCTTCCCCTGCGCGATGCGCAAACGTTTCTTCTAGACAGAACTCAGTCATGTTATGGCGGATCAGTGGCGTCTCCATCGCCCTCGTTGACAACGGACAAGCTAGCCATTAAACGTCTTGTATGTAACATCAACACAAGTCCCCGGCAGATGGGGGATATTTGTGGCCTCACATTTGCTTGTGTTAGTCAAGTTGAATCTAAGTCGATGTAACACGTGTTCTGATTGGATAGAAAGAAGGGAGATAATTCGTGTTGCGATCTTTTGCCGCTAGGGGATTTTACGAGAACCGGGAAATATGGCCGTATTAGAACAGAGGTTACGTAGGAAGATATGACAGGAGTAACCTCTGTGGGAAGAGAATGCTCGACACCTCATCTAGGAGAATTTTCTTCAGGTTAGCAAGGTCTAGAGCGATCAATGAGACATTGATAACAAAAATTCAAGAACCCTAGGTCCGAAGAGGTTAGGATGATACTATCAGCTCTACTAACTCAGAAAAAGGACCAACACTTCATGTCGGATCACTTGGCCTCAACTTCGGAGGGTTTCACTTTATTACGTAGACAGGGTCTACCAGCATTTTGTTCCTGGAGTGACAGATTTACCAAACCGCTACCAAGAGCTCTTTTCGTCGCCCATCCGGAAACTACAGAGGGGAACCCTGGGAGTGGACGTAATCCCAGAGGTTCGAGAGGAGCTAGACGCTGAAAATGGGGTTCGGAACGACTGGACACTTCCACCCCCAGCTGTTCCTGTACAACCATCAACAGTGGGTGGACGTCTACAAGTAGACACAAGGAGGAAGCAAACATCTGGCTAAGGGCGTGTCACATACCAGGAGCCAAGAACGTTCTAGCAGACGCTCTATCTCGTCAACTTCATTCGTCACCCACGGAATGGATTTCGGCTCATCATAATGGAAATAGGATCCCCATGCATAGACCTGTTTGCCACGAGGTTCAACAAACAACTACAGACATTCGTCTCACCAGTACCAGATCCTCAAGCCTGGGCAACAGATGCACTGAGCATATCATGGGAAGGACTTAACGCATACGCGTTTCCGCCTCCGATCTTACTACCGAAAGTTATATTGAAGATCAAACAGACCCAAGCACTACAACTGACTTTGGTCGCGCCCTATTGGCCAGCGAGAGTCTGGTTCCTAGATCTAGTACAAGAACTCTGAAGTCCAACCCTCAAACTACCAGAGTGGCGAACCTACTCAGACATCCGCACACCAAGCAAGTCCACAAGAACCCACTAATGTTCCAGTTACACGCATTGTGGACCATATCAAAACTTGTCTAAAGAAAAGAGGATACTCCGCCAGAGCAGCGAAAGCAGTAACCTTAGCATTACACAGATCAACTCGCAATTTCTACGACGACAAATGGCAGAAATTTGAACAATATGCAAGGTGGAAAGGATTCACGGCTATGAAAGCATCTCATCCTCAAGTGGCGGAATATCTATGTCACCCTAGATATACAAGGCATTTGAAAGGTTCGACATTATCTACATATCTGGCAGCGATTAGTACAGTCGTCACTATGAAGACAGGCATCAAATTGACGAAAGTACCTAAATTACTTGCTTTGCTACGCTCTGTTAAACTGGAAGACCAGCAAAAGAAATTCAGAGCACCAGCTTGGGATCTGAACGTAATTCTACGACATCTCATGAGTGATGCCTATGAACCTCTAGAGCATACTACCTTCGAGCTACTTACACAGAAAACTCTGTTCCTCCTTGCCCTAGCTACGGCAGCTCGAATATCAGAGATACATGTGCTGGATTTTGGACGAACTATCAATGGAGGTCTCAAGAACGACAATATCGTTTTGGACGAGAGCCATTATAATAAGAGCCTATAAAGCAGCAGGATGAGAACCTCCCAAGAGCTTCCAACCCACATGAAGTCAGAGCACTGGCATCTACACTCGCTCTGCATGGAAATTGCTCAACATCATCAATAATGGAGGGCTGCTTTTGGAAGTCGGATACAGTGTTTGCCAACCACTACCTCAGAGACATAGCCACCAAGACGTCTCAGGCATTCACCAGTTTGGGCCTCTTGATGTATCACAACAACTAACGGTTCCCCAAAGGCGCTGAGTTGGAAATCTCATTCTTTATCACGTTGACTTGTTGATAAGTTTTATTACGAAAAAGTACTAGTTTGAAAGTCCATGCGCACATTCCAGACTAGACTGGCATGAGTGATTAAGGCTCTGTACAGGTAACGATCTTACCTGTACGTTAAGGGGTTGCAACTCATTTATGATAACGATCTTATCATAATCTATGGGTTGTTATAGATAACTAGTAAAAAGAAGATACTAGTATATCTAAAATCCACATGAATCTAGAAGATTCACTTGTCTGAGAGAGAAGTAAGACAAGATTGTGGTCCTCCCGAGTTATAACGGAAGTTGGAAGAATAGGATCTAGGAAATGCCGTTGCGCAGTTCCCAGGGGGGGATACAGGACGTATCTAAAGACAGCTGATGAATCCACGAAGTGGCTTGACCCACCACCAATCCGTCAGATTCTATAAGCAAAAGATCATGAGTCAGGATAAGGAATAATATTTTATACTTATCCTGACTCATGAGGTCAAGCCCTCCCAACCTCGCGGCTGAAGACACCTCGGATTTCTCAGTAGATCCAAGTGCATGGGCTTATTCAGGAGAGAGTGGCAAGTAGTGCTGGTCACATGACTGTTTGCACGGGAAAAGGGAGGTAACTCGTGGGTGAGAGAACTTTTACGTCCACTTTATGGAACTACAAGGGATTCAAGTGTTCCACGAACATTCGCATAGAAGGAGATAAGCAAAAGATCATGAGTCAGGATAAGTATAAAATATCAATTTTACTTAAAAAATTATATTTTCAGTTGTCATGATCTGAGCAGCTGGGATGTTTGGGAGGATGTGTTCCACATTGTCAAGACAGCCAACGAACATGGTGGCATGCCAGAAGAGGTAAGGAACTATTCCACAGCAATGTGTGCTGGTTTAGGAGGCGATGTCTTAGATGGGTGTGAGTTTAAATCAAGTTCCCAATTATATGAGATCTGTGTTTATTTTTATCTCATTGTCTTGTTTTCAGATCATCTGTAGTGCTATGTCGACATGTTCCATGTATTTACTGTGGGGACAACAAGCTCTGGACGAACACAATCCAGACAAGGTGAGACTTTTGTTTCTACATTGATTCCAGGGTAAAGCAGCAAAGAATAGTTTCCATGTGAAAATGATCCCCTTTGTGACATCATGGTAATCAATGAGATCACAATGGTTTACGGAACTTTGTGATGCAGTTCCATTGTAGATCATGTTATGAGCTTGTAAAGCACTTTTTCCAATTAAAAGTGATCGAAAAGAAGAAAAGCATGATATGCGTTCTTAACAGCTATTAAAAGTTGAAACAAATACAGCAAAACACTGTGTTGTCATTAAAAGAAAAGCAAGTATTGTTTTCAGCAGTAAGACTACAGAATACCGGATACCTTCCGCCATCTTTGAAAGCATGCGAGTTGACTTAGGGTTAGGGTGACATGACACTAAACAATATGGCTGGTAGGTGTCCGGTATTCTGTAGGTGTACCTTTTCAGCATCATGGATCATCAAAACTGACGCAATGTATAGTTTCACACCTAATTGGACCATGATTGATTTTATTGGCATCTTTTTATTATTTATTTTCTGTCTCTATAGGAACAAATGAAGTTGCTGAGACGACGTTTAAACGAGCTGATGAAGAACTGTCATGATCTCATGTTTCATCAGCTGTCCAGGGTGAATGAGGAGGTATGTCAACCTACTGCTGGTCAGATATGGAAGAATTAGCTAAATTGTGGACACTGAACAGAGTGAAGAGACTTTATGTTAGGTTTTGCATTATTAGAAGACCCGTGAAGATCCAGGTTAAAACTGGTCTTCAGCAACCCATGCTTGTCGTAAGAGGCGACTAACAGGATCATGTGGTCATGTGGTCAGGATTGACTTGGTTGACACATATCATCATATCCCAGTTGCATAGATCGATGTGAGGCGTCACTAGGCTGATGTATTCTTGAGTTGTGTTTTTTTATTCAGTGAGGCGTCACCAGGCTGATGATTTCTTTATTTGTTTTTCCAGGCATATGTGACAATCTGTGACCTGCTGGTCGTGTTCAGCAAGCACCTGGGAGAAAACGCTGTAATGAAACCACTTGTGTACGAACCAGATAAAAACATGCATCTTCATCTGAGCAACTTCCTGTCAGAGAAAGTCTTCGTGGAGGATGATGACGGTCAGTGAATAACTGTAAACTTCCCTACTCTGTTTTGAAGAAGGTGTAATTGGTTTTCCTTTTTATATACATTTGTGCATTTGAAATATATAATTGATTCACTGCTTGATGTTATATCTTATTCCAGATGATGTTGATGAGAATGTCAAGATTGAGGAGCTCCACAAGAGAAGAAACTTCCTGGCCTGTTTCTGTAAGCTCATCGTCTATAACATCGTCTCCATCAAAGTCGGCGCCGACATGTTTAAACACTACATGAAGGTATGTTCAAGAATGAAATACACAATGCCATTTTAGAAAGTGGTAAAATGTAACATATGTTCTATTTGGGATTACACTTTCTTTGTAAAGTACAGATTCTGGTACTTTTTTGGGTTGAGTCCCCTCCGGGATTCGAATCCAAAAAAGTACTAGAATCTGTACTTTACTAAGAAAGTGTAATCCCAAATATAACATATGTCATATATGTTCAAGAAGATGATTAAGTTGAGAAGTTCCTTTCTAGATAACCTCTACTATCTCACCTTACGTTTAAAGTGCTAATATGTCAGTGATGTTAACGCACTGGAAGGAATATGCACCTCCCTTATTGCAACATTAACATTGATGATCTCTGTAATTACTGCAGTTCATGATCTTACAGAATCTTTGTGTTGTCATGTAAACCATTACTGATGACGTCTCATTTCATAAGAGGGAGCATAGTTGATGCCTAAGGTGCAACAATTCACTGTGCAGAGGTGGGTTCCTTGCTAGAAGCATATGATCATAGGTTAGAATCACAGTTCGCCCAAATATGTTTCTAGTATTGTCAGCACCATACTATTGATCATGGCATTTACCAGATGAGCATAATACCTCAGACATGTACCACGTTGGTCTTTCCTCACACCTTGAACTGAAACACACTGTGAAACATATGATGTGATGCATATTTATGATACGCTGTAGAATACCTGAAAGCTGTGATAAACCCAACTCAGTCAATCAGATCGCAAGGCTTATTACTATTTCTGTATGTATTCTTGTTTCCAGTTCTACAACGATTATGGAGACATCATCAAGGCTACATTAAGCAAAGCCAGAGAAATCAACAAGATCACAACGGCCAAAACACTGGCCCTCAGTCTAACACAAGTAAATAACATTGAAATAAATCACTAACATTTAAAGTAATGCAAGAGTCGTGTCCCTTAGCTGTGACAGAATCCTTTGACCTTGGCTCCACCCAAGATATGATTCTGACTTTGTTAGCATGGTACCCATGCTTGTCTAATTCAGCAAGATGGTCTATGACTTTTATCACTTAATGTTCTCCCCACGTTTAGTTGGTATACTGTGATATCACTTAAGCATAAAACCCAAAATATGAATTGTTTGAGTCTTTGTAATGGAGTGAGTTTAGTTTTACGCTGCAGTCAGCAATATTCCAGCTATATGATGGCGGTCTGTAAATAATCCAGTCTGGACCAGACAATCCAGTGATCAACAACATGAGCATCAATCTGCGCAATCGGGAACCAATGACATGTGTCAACCAAGTCAGCGAGCCTGACCACCCGATCCTGTTAGTCGCCTCTTATGACAAGCATGGGTTACTGAAGATCAATATTCTAACCCAGACCTTCACGGGTCTCTTTGTAATGGACACTTATAGAGATAACTGAGAGGTGTGTGTAGAAGTATGTCAGAATATTCTCAGAGAAACTCCTTGCATTGGCTTGAGTATTGCTGATTGCAACTTAAAATGAACAAAACAATAACTGAAATCTTGCCTGTTATTTCTAGCTTTTCAAAGAGTTACAAGTGGAGCAGGGTCAGATTGAGAGATCGTCTGATGCGTTCCAGTCTATAAAGGTGAGACTTCCTTGATATTTGGGATACCTCTCGGTCTCAGCATTGTTTGACCAGAGTACTTGCTCTGCTCACTATCAAATTATTATTATTTTTTTTTTAAATTGCCTATTGTTGTTTACTATAGGTTAATGCCCAACCAAGTCTTTCATGTTACTGAAGATAATTTGTCATTGCATGAAAGTCAGGGGTTCGTGTCATTACTTGAAGACTTAAAATGAAGACTTAAAGTGTTTTAAGATATAAGGAGTTCCTGGATTCATGTACTGCTCCAGAAAATACAAAGACATGCTTAATTTGAATGCCAAAAGTCGAATCGTTGTAAATATTCTATGGGACAAAAATATGGCATGTTATAGACCATATGCTTTAAGATCGAAGTCAGTTCAGTTGACTATAAAAAGTCATATTCTTTCCTTGACGGGACTTTGAGGATTTTATCTTTAGGATTAATCTTTATTATGAAATGATTGGAGCTATAGAAAATGCTTCCTTGTTTTTCAGGAATTGGCCAGAAGATTTGCATTGTCTTTTGGTCTGGATCAAGTCAAAAACAGGGAGGCAGTTGCTGCCATGCATAGGTAAGGGAGGATGTGGACTTGGAGTTGTAGTATTATTGGATAGTTCCTATGTTCCTGTTTCCTTAGACTCAGAGGTATTTTAATACCATATCAGATTGTATTAAGTTCAGTAGTATTGAAACCTCTTCCCATTTATTGGTCCTGTTATCAGTGATATACTATTTAACTCTTCACGGAAATAAAATTAGTTAGTACTTTCATGTATTAACATGAATTCACCAATTATTAAATCCAATTTGGGAATTTTCAATGTCACTCAAACTCATCCACTCACAAAGACTCTAACTCACTCATTCTCTTGACCTGTGAAGGTCTGGGTTAGAATATTGATCTTCAGTAACCCATGCTTGTCATAAGAAGCGACTAACGGGATCGGAAGGTCAGGCTCGCTGACTTGGTTGACACATGTCATTGGTTCCCAATTACGCAGATCGATGCTCTTGGATTGTCTGGTCCAGACTCGATTATTTACAGACCACCGCCATATAATGGTATCTTACTTGTCCGTGGGCTACTAGATAATTTCCACTTATGGTTTCAAACTGCAAATAAACTTGGATTAAATTCCATATCTGCTCAAAATGTAGCTATTAAATTTCGCAATGATAATACAGTAGAGTTATCTTTCTTTGCTATTTATCACTTTTCAATAAATAGTCCAGTAAACATTAACATCAAATACCATGTTGATTTATTCTTTCATAATTACATCAACATGATTATTTCATAAAATCAGGGCAAGTGGAAAATTAGTCAGGACAAGTTACTTTCTTAAAGTCAAGTGACTTTTTAAAAAGATTTTGAACCCCTGCGCCATATAGCTGGAATATTGCTGAGTGCGATGTAAAACTAAACTCACTCACTCACTCACTCACTCATTCACTTACTTACTCATACAGCCCCTAAACTCACTCACCCAAGACTCACTGACTTACTCATTCACTTACTTACTCACTCATACAGACCCTAACTCACTCACCCAAGACCCAGTGACTCATTCACTCACTCACTCTGCTTTCTGTGTAGGGAGGGGATCATATTCAGTCTACTGAGCCAAGAGGGACGTGATCCCGCTGACGCCCCTCACAACATCGCCTTCCTTGAAGTCCTGTGTGAATTCACCAACAAGTTGATGAAACAAGACAAGAAGACAGTGTAAGTCATATTTACTTATTTCACAAGAAACATTATCTTCAGGGTAGAACTTAGTTTTGCTTCGTTACATTTTTATATTTCATGTGAAGCAGCTATATGTGGAGATATGTATGGGTAGAATATTGTTATTGAAAATTTTCACTAGTCCTCTTGATTATTTGTATCTAATGCAGTGATCTTAAGGTTTTGTTTTGGCACAAAATGTCATGATACCCCTATAGTAGGACACTTTTTTTTCCAATAAGTCCTTTTAAGATATATTTCGCAGTTTTCAATTGTTAAATCGTTGTTTTCTTGTGTTCTGTAGTTCACCTTTACAGTGTTCCTTTAATGGCTGACACTGGCCATGTGCTACACCATGCTCAGACAGACTGTCTAAACCAAGTTGCTAAGGGGGACAACTCTCTGTTATTGTGATTGAAAACCCACTGATTAAAATCTTTGTATCATTACACTCACCTATTATTGTGCCCCCAAGCAACGCAGGACTGCAGGACTATGTATTTATCAGCATCCGTATGTGCGTCCCGATTCTTGTTAACACGATATATGAACTGTTGTACCCAATGTCTTCAAATTTGATGACAGCCTACATTGGGGAATTACGCAGACACCAGTCGATTTGGGTGACCTTGAGCATATTTTCAAGGTCACCACGACACTGACCACTTTTCAAACTTTTGTTAACGCGATATCTCATGCACTGTTGTACCCAATATTTTAAAATTTGGTAACAGCCTACATTGGGGGATTATGCAGACTCCAGTTCATGTGGGTGACCTTGACCTTATCTTCAAGATCACCACGACCGCTGACTACCACTTTTCAAACTCTTGTTAACATCATATCTCATGCACTGTTGTACCCAATATTTTAAAATTTGGTAACAGCCTACATTGGGGGATTATGCAGACTCCAGTTCATGTGGGTGACCTTGAGCATATTTTCAAGGTCATCCTGAAACTTTGACCACTTTTTAAACTTTTGTTAACACGATATCTCGTAAAACATTGCACCTAATGTCTTAAAAAAACCTAGTTAATATGTTATAAATATCTTATTCTTCTTTAGCGGCAGGGGATATTGCCATATTAGTGGCAAACGCTTGTTTTTGGTGTGTTTAGTTGTACATCTTTTTGTTTTCTGCTGAGTTCTTTGTTCTTGTTCCCGGCAGTGTTCAGTAGCTCACCTTTTGTGTTGTTTTCTTCCACAAGGTTCAGTATCTGGACAAGCAGTTGCCGCAGGGTATGCCAGTGAGTTGGAGTGTTCAGTAGCTCACCTTTTGTGTTATTTTCTTCCACAGGGTTCAGTATCTGGATAAGCAGTTGCCGCAGGGTATGCCAGTGAGTTGGAGTGTTCAGTAGCTCACCTTTTATATTGTTTTCTTCCACAGGGTTCAGTATCTGGACAAGCAGTTGCCGCAGGGTATGCCAGTGAGCGGTAGTGAGGAATGGCAGCCATTGCTGACCTACAGAAACAGCTTGGTGCAGGGCGAGGGGGAGATTAACCCCATCACACTGAAGGAAGCCACAAAACGCCGCTACGGCAAGCGGAAACAAGATGGTGGGTCCCAGCCAAAAGGTATCCCAGTTTGTGGTACTTGGCATGCCACTTTGGCCGCTCTTGAGGTCATTGTCGTAGCATGTCAGTGGCTGTGAGCTGTTGTACCTTGTGTTGTCCTTGGTTGCTTGCTCAGCTGGGTGAACATGCACCATGTTTTGTAATGTATTTTTGTTTTCAAGAACATATCCTTGAGCTGGTTTCTGAATATTTGCCAATGTTTAGTCAAGGTCAGTGGATGGAACCAGCAATACTATATGGAGGAGCAATCTATTGTAGTTGCAACAACCCAGTTTATTAGTATATACGTCACTGACAGTTTTACTCATTCAGTTTCCTTTGTTTTGTTGGAGTTTTACAAGGCAGTATCATTTTATGATTGCAATCGTAATTAAAATTGCTCACTACTTATTTAAAGCATGAGAGGAAAAATCAGCTCGTATGGACTTGGTGTTGTTTTGGTTTTTGTGAGAGGCTTCTTTTTAACAGATAGGTGTTGGGGCACAAAGGGCCCAGTCATATACAGAGGGAAATACTATGGGTGTTAAACCCAACACACTCAGTCTTTCTGTAAATGGTGCACAGATTACTTTTTTGCCAATCGTGAAATAAAAACAAAAGTCCTTGAACTGATTTGTCTAAAATGTTGTAGGATGGGGAAAATGGAACTGAAATTATTTTAATTCTACATTTTTCATTAGGAATTCCTTTTGAAAAAGGACAGAGGTGTTGAAAACTATATAGCACAGCCATGCACTGCTTGGGCTTGTGGTCATGCTATGCAAAGCATTCATACCAGCTTTTGAACATTTGATTTACAGATTATTGTCCCCCTCCGCAACGCGGAACGGGGGACTATGTATTCAGCGGCGTACATATACGTCCCGATTCTTGTTAACGCGATATCTCATGGACTGTTGTACCCAATGTCTTCAAATTTAGTGACAGCATACATTGGGGGATTACGCAGACACCAGTCGATTTGGGTGACCTTGCCCTTATCTTCAAGGTCACCACAACACTTTGACCGCTTTTCAAACTTATTTAAACGCGATATCTCATAAAACATTGCACCCAATGTTTTCAAGTATGTTGGCAGCCTTCATTGGCTGATTATGCAGACACCAGTCATTTCAGGCATCTTGTATGTGACCAAAAAATAAAAAGTAGTAAATATAGACATTCAGTTCTTAGGCAGCGGGGGACATTGCCATATCAGTGGCAAACACTTGTTCAGTTCGTGTTAGTTGCTGTGGTACCTGCAGGGAGACAGTTTGGGATTGATTTGTTTGTTTTTTTGTATCCTTGATACCTTTGGAAGTAGTGATATTCGGGGTTGGAAGGATAGGGATGATGACAGTGGTAGGTGGTAGGGGAGGTGTCGCCAAAACACAACTGGGGGTTGGTAAAGAAATGACAGTTATATTTTTCCCAATAAGTTTTTTCAAAGTAATAAAGGTAAAAGTAATCCTAACATTTAAGAATTAATGTGTTTTCATGTCATTATCATGCAAGTGTTGGATATTCATATACGACTTATCGATCTGGTAATTCGAAAGGTACGATACTTTATGGATAACAGCTTCTGATTATCAACCACTCATGCTTGACAACGGTAAAAGAATCTATGCTGAAAGTCGCATCATAACATAGAATCGTACCTTTCTTATTGTTCTAAAATGCCAAATCAAACAGATGATCTGGTAATTTGTTAATTTACGCATAGTTTGTTTGCATAAAGTGGGAATTTTCTCAAAAATATTATACTGTTCTAAGACCAAATCCTTTTGACTGCCCATGCATAATATAACAGCAGTCCCTCAAATGCATCAATAATTTATAAAGTTTTAAATCTGTTTTGTTGTGTCAGTGTGATGGGGATTTTAGGGCAGGCAGATCTCTTAAACAAGGTACAAAATGTTGCCTGAACTACAAAGTATTTAAAATTGTACATGGGGATTTATATTATAAGACTGCTTTTTGGAAGGTTGTCAGGGATAATCATTGTGTAGTAAAACAGTAAATCTCTGAAATCAGTTGTTCTTGTGCCGTTGTAGTTAGTTCATATTAAAATCTAGTAATGTCTTATTTTATATTTTTTTTCTGAATGTTTTGAAAGTGCATGTTGATTTGGTATTACAGCATCTGTGTAGTTTGCAATAATGATGTAAAATTGATGATTATTTTTAATTTCCCAACCCCCGTAATGAGATTGCTGGAACATTGCTGAAAGTGGCATAAAACTTAACTCACTCACTAACTAATGTTTTTGGATAGATATTCTGTTAGATGGACAGGGTAGTGACAAGTTTGATTCAACATGTATTCATAGTTTTAGATTGATATAATTATTCTTTACAGTATCCATGGTTAGAGTGCAGTTGAGAACCCAAGTCTAGCATATTTCTGTTTATGCTTGTAAGCTCTTCTGATAATAGTTAGGGGGTGATGAGGTAGCCCTCTGGTATAAGCGTGAGCTCATCACGCTAAAGGCAGGGTTTGATTCTCCACATGAGTGATAATAGTTAGGGGGTGATGGGGTAGCCCTCTGATTAAAGCTTCAGCTCATCATGTTAAAGGCAGGGTTTGATTCCCCACATGAGTGATAATAGTTGGGACGCGATGGTGTAGCCCTCTGGTTTAAGCGTGAGCTCATCACGCTAAAGGCAGGGTTCGATTCCCCACATGACTACACTGTGTGAAGCCCATTTCTGGTGTCCCCGGCTCTGATGTTGCTGGAATATTGCTAAAAGCGGCACAACACTATCCACACACTGTAATGATAGTTCATATATTAACACTGAGAGCTACTAGGATGCTAGGGGCCACTTTCAGCCTGGTGGTCTCCTCCACGTTTTTCACTGACTGCTGTGGGTAGTCTTTCTCACCGATGTAATTCATAATTTATTACCTTTACCACTTTTTTGTTAGGGGACATTTGTATGTGATTGTATATTGTTGAGATTTAGAAGTTTGCAAAAAGAAAATTGTGACAATGTGATAATCAGTGACTATCCAACTTTCAGCTGATGATAGTGGGTTTGAACCCCAGACCCCTGCCCCGATGACCGTCCCCCCACTGACGTCGACTGTCCAGAAGCGACGGAGAATAGACGAGACTATCTCAGAACAGGGCTCTGAGCAAGACTTTGTGGACGATACGTGAGTATTTTTTGTTTTGATGTACTTTCTTGTTCTCTTTTCACAAAGCAGCAATACCTTGCATCATCAGTCCTTCTCACAACCTGCATGAATGTGGGTCACAATGGGGTTGCCCTTTCAGCAGCAGCATTGTTTGGATTGGTCCATGATTGTTTATTTTGTTACCTACCTCCTTAAAAAACTACATTACAAGACCGAAAATGTATTAAGTTTTTTTCCTAATTTTATCAAGATGGCATTAGACACAAGCCAAGACAGTTCATGATTATGTTAACAGTGTCATTCAGGCCTTCCTTAGAGTTGACAGAATTCAGTCTTCTGGATGTTTACCTCCCAATTTGATTTATGAAGTAAATGAGGTGCAGGGGAAGTATATACTGTACAGTGTCAATACACTTTGCGATAGTCGAAAAACTGAACCTATCATTGTTACACCCTTAATAACTTGTTTAGTCCAAATGTAAGGTAGTTTGGTTGGTCTTAAGGTAGGTGGTTTGGGTGGGTTGACGGTAGGTGGTTTGGGTGGGTTGTATGGAAGGTGGTTTGGGTGGGTTGTATGGAAGGTGGTTTGGGTGGGTTGTAGGTAGGGAGGGTGTTTCAGTTTCCTTACATTTGAAAACGAAGGCATCCTTATCGTAATGGTATGGGAGCACACCAAAATCTGAGTATCTCCTTAGTTTTAAACACTGAATATGGTTGGTCCAATAGTGAGAACTATGCCCTTTTTTCAGGCCAAATGAAAGAATGAAAACGTATTTGAAAATAAGTTCATGGACCAGTAGGTATATTTATGAATAAGAATCCAAACTTTGTCTTTTTCATTTACCCATCTTTCCTTAACTGTACATTGGGCACATTTTACTCTTGACTTTCCAGTATATATTTTGTTCACTTTTAATTTTCTTTAATTCATGTTGTCATTTTATTTTCTCACTTTATGTTATGTTTCTCTGTTTTTCAGTTTTTAGACCCAGAATGTGTCCCAAGTTTTCACAGTGTGAGATAAATGTACATATGTAAAGATGTAATAATAGACATGGAATAAATGTTCATATTCACCAGTATTCAGACACTGCCAGTCATAGTAACCATTTCAATGTATGTGGAAATCATGTAGAATTTGAAATAAGTTAAATCAAAGTTATTTATATATGTGTAAATCAACACTTTTGATAGAGATTATTGTACTAGCTGATGCAGATAGGATATCTTGTCTCTTATCTTGGATTGGTTTTGTATGGCAGAATAATTATTTGTTAGTATGTTAGCTGTTGAAGGGTTACTGGAGTAATGATTCAAAAAGTACAATATAACTGCTGTACACATGAGTTACACAGCATGAGACTGATTCAATACAGTGATTCAATTAATTCTGCATCTGATGTCCAGTCACCGCTTTATGCCTTACTGAAAAACAATTTCAAGCACAGGGAATATCAGTCACATTTTGTCCATCTGATTTTCTATCTTGTCAGTCATTTATTAACACAGTGCTTCAGTATGTTTGGGCTAATTCTATGAAACATCACAGGAACTTGGAGTTCATTTTGTACAGTGATATTTACACAGATAAAAGGAATATCACCTGTATTATGGGGAATATCACATGTTATATTAAGGAGAATATTATCGTATCCCTTGTTAATTTGTAAGAAGAATCATTCTGTTTGTATGATAGTTGGGTTTCTTTTTCCCCTCAGTATAAGAGATATTTAAGGAGTAAGCGTCTATTTGACAATGGGTTTCTTTTCATGGACGTTCTGTCAAATATCTGTAAAGTTAATGAAGGTACAATTGATCCAGGTATTCTTAAGAATGGAAAATACTGAAGCACTGTTGTGGGTTGTTTTCACATTTATTTGAACTTCAGTTTCTCATTATTTGTCTGTTCTGTTGCTTTGTAAATCCCACCGATGTACCTTTCATTTTGGCTTCATTTTCATAACATGCATTTTGTAAATAAATGCTCATTTTGTATGCCTTTCTTTTGTTCTTATTTCCATGTTTGTTTTTGAATTTTCATCCATGGTGATTTTGACCCTTTCATGTGCATGAATAAACACAGTTTGATTCGATGAGGGATCAAAGATTGGCCTCATTGTGCCCGAGATGAGGGACCGACTCTACAATGCAATCTTAGCATTAGATTCTTTTAAGTCAGTGTTTAAGTATGTTAGCCACGATTGTCTTAAGCTAAGTTCACTTTTTGGAATGTGGTCCAGGGCTCACTTGCACAAAGCCGTCTAGAAATGTCACAAATGTCACACGTTCTTGTTCAAGCAGGGCAGTTAGATTATCTTAGTGCTAAGATAGCTCAGTGGAAAATGGTCGAGAGCTCACTTGCATAGAGCAGTCTACAAATGTCATAGGTCGGTGTTAAAGCAGGGCCGTTAGATAATCTTAGCGCTAAGATAACAAAACGAAAAGGGCAAATCAAGAAATGAAATCTTCAACCTGGCTATATTTGCTCATAAATGGACAAGTAATATGGAGGTGATTGATGAATGTTCTTGGGTTGGGATTGCTTACTTTCCCTGAGATATGTACTTGTTGATCTGAGATGTACACTTGTATCTCACACAGGGGATCTCACAGGGGATCTCACACAAATGTTTTCTGATAGATCTCACAAAGACTATCTCACACAGGAGATCTCACAAATGTTTTCTAACACATCTCACAAAGACTATCTCACACAGGAGATCTCACACAAATGTTTTCTAACACATCTCACAAAGACTATCTCATACAGGAGATCTCACACAAATGTTTTCTAACACATCTCACAAAGACTATCTCACACAGGAGATCTCACAAATGTTTTCTAACACATCTCACAGGAGATCTCACACAAATGTTTTCTACTCTCACAAAGACTATCTCACACAGGGGATCTCACACAAATGTTTTCTGATAGATCTCACAAAGACCATCTCACAGTATCTCACACAGGGGATCTCCAGGAGATCTCACACAATGTTTTCTAACACATCTCACAAAGACTATCTGACACAGGAGATCTCACACAAATGTTTTCTGATAGATCTCACAAAGACCATCTCACAGTATCTCACACAGGGGATCTCGCAGGAGATCTCACACAATGTTTTCTAACACATCTCACAAAGACTATCTCACACCGATCTCACACAAATGTTTTCTGACAGATCTCACAAAGACTATCTCACACAGGAGATCTCATACAAATGTTTTCTGATAGATGTCACAAAGACTATCTCACACAGGAGATCTCACAAATGTTTTCTAACACATCTCACAAAGACTATCTCACACAGGAGATCTCACACAAATGTTTTCTAACACATCTCACAAAGACTATCTCATACAGGAGATCTCACACAAATGTTTTCTAACACATCTCACAAAGACTATCTCACACAGGAGATCTCACAAATGTTTTCTAACACATCTCACAAAGACTATCTCACACAGGGGATCTCACACAAATGTTTTCTGACAGATCTCACAAAGACCATCTCACAGGAGATCTCACACAAATGTTTTCTGACAGATCTCACAAAGACTATCTCACAGGGGATCTCACACAAATGTTTTCTGACAGATCTCACAAAGACTATCTCACAGGGGATCTCACACAAATGTTTTCTGATAGATCTCACAAAGACTATCTCACAGGGTTTTCACAAATGTTTTCTAACACATCTCACAAAGACTATCTCACACAGGAGATCTCACACAAATGTTTTCTAACACATCTCACAAAGACTATCTCACACAGAAGATCTCACACAAATGTTTTCTAACACATCTCACAAAGACTATCTCACACAGGAGATCTCACAAATGTTTTCTAACACATCTCACAAAGACTATCTCACACAGGAGATCTCACACAAATGTTTTCTAACAGATCTCACAAAGCATTTCTCACAGGAGATCTCACACAAGGGATTTTGACACACAGGATCTCATTCAGAGGGTTACTTACGGACCTTACACTGGGGGGTTCTCCACAATAGATTTCACCATGGGGGATATCAGACAGCATCAAGCACAGATCTCACACAGGATTTCATACTTGGGATCAGTCTCAGCAGGTTTCACATAGGAGATATCACACGGGTTATCACACGATAAGGGGTGTCATATAGAGGATCTATCTAGTCTCACCAAGAGGAGTATCACACAAAGAAAGTCGAACAGGAAATCTCACTACAGAGAGTTTCTTATAGGGGATGTCTCTAAGAATTTCACCAAGGCGGATTTCACTGTAACGTGTTTCACACAGATCTCATCACAGGGGCTTTGATGTTGGGGATGTCACACAGGCAATCTCACCACAGTTTCACATGGATCTTGTCACACTGAGACTTTATGCGGACTTTGACACACGGACTATCAGCAGATGTCACCACAGGCAATTTCACACAGACCTCGGGCGGTGGGGTAGCCTAGTGGTTAAAGCATTCGCTCCTCACCCCAAAGGCCCAGGTTCGATTCCCCACATGGGTACAATTTGTAATGCCCATTTCTGGTGTCCCCCGCCTTGATATTGCTGGAATATTGCTAGAAGCGGCACAAAACCATACTCAGTCAGTCAGTCGCACAGATCTCACCATGGGGTTTCACATAGAAGATCTGCCACATCTGACCGTAAAGGGTGTCACATGGGGGATGTCACACAGGCAATCTCACCACAGGGTTTCATGTAGGGGATGTCACACAGGCAATCTCAACACAAGGTTTCATGTATGGATGTCACACAGGCAATCTCACCATAGGGTTTCATGTCGGGGATGTCACACAGGCAATCTCACCACAGGGTTTCATGTAGGGGATGTCACAGATAATCTCACCATAGGGTTTCATGCAGGGAATGTCAGGCAATCTCAGCACAGGGTTCCATGTAGGGGATGTCACACAGGCAATCTCACCATAAAGGGTTTCATGTAGGGGATGTCACACAGGCAATCTCACCACAGGGTTTCATGTAGGGGATGTCACAGATAATCTCACCATAGGGTTTCATGCAGGGAATGTCAGGCAATCTCAGCACAGGGTTCCATGTAGGGGATGTCACACAGGCAATCTCACCATAAAGGGTTTCATGTAGGGGATGTCACCATATGGTTTCAAGAAGGGGATGTCACACAGGCAATCTCACCACAGGGTTTCATGTAGGGGATGTCACACAGGACACCACAGGCAATCTCACCACAGGGTTTCATGCAGGGAATGTTTCAGTAGGGGTCACACAGGCAATCTCACAATATCACCACAGGGTTTCATGTCACACAGGAATCTCACCAGGCATGTAGGGATGTCACATCTCAGCACAGGGTCTCCATGCAGGGAATGGCAATCTCACCAGGGTTTCAATCTCACAATCACATTGTTTCACCATTTCATGTAGGGGGATGTCACACAGGCAATCTCATCACATTGTTTCATGTAGGGGATGTCACCATATGGTTTCAAGAAGGGGATGTCACACAGACAATCTCACCATAAAGGGTTTCATGTAGGGGATGTCACCATATGGTTTCAAGAAGGGGATGTCACACAGGCAATCTCACCACAGGGTTTCATGCAGGGAATGTCAGAGGCAATATCACCACAGGGTTTCATGCAGGGAATGTCAGGCAATCTCAGCACAGGGTTCCATGCAGGGAATGTCACACAGGCAATCTCACCATAGGGTTTCATGTAGGGGATGTCACACAGGCAATCTCACCACAGGGTTTCATGTAGGGGATGTCACACAGACAATCTCACCTCAAGGTTTCATGTATGGATGTCACACAAGCAATCTCACCATAGGGTTTCATGTAGGGGATGTCACACAGTCAACCTCACCATAGGGTTTCATGTAGGGGATGTCACACAGGCAATCTCACCACAGGGTTTCATGTAGGGGATGTCACACAGGCAATCTCATCACAGGGTTTCATGTAGGGGATGTCACACAGACAATCTCACAGGCACCACAGTGAGTTTCACATTGTGGTGTCACACTGATCTTCTGTGCAGGATTTCACGCAGAAAATCACACTACAATGTGTTTCATGCAGATGGCACCACAGAGGATTTCACACAGATCTCACCATGGGGATTTACATAGGGGATGTCACACCGGTTGCCACACCACAAGGTGTTTCACATAAAAGATCTGCCTAATCTCACCATAGGGTTTCACATAGGGGATGTCACACCGGTTGCCACACCACAAGGTGTTTCACATAAAAGATCTGCCTAATCTCACCATAGGGTTTCACATAGGGGATGTCACACTGGTTGCCACACCACAAGGTGTTTCACATAAAAGATCTGCCTAATCTCACTAGAGAGGGTTTCACATAGGGGATGTCACACCGGTTGCGATACCACAAGGTGTTTCACATAAAAGATCTGCCTAATCTCACTATAGAGGGTTTCACATAGGGGATGTCACACCGGTTGCCACACCACAAGGTGTTTCGCATAAAAGATCTGCCTAATCTCACTATAGAGGGTGTCACATAGGGGATGTTACACCGGTTGCCACACCACAAGGTGTTTCGCATAAAAGATCTGCCTAATCTCACTATAGAGGGTTTCACATGGGGGATGTCACACAGATCTCACCATGGGGTTTCACACGTAATACTCCAGTATTTACACATCAGACTGTTGGTGTTCTTGCACGTCTTTGGTAAATATAGAAATCATGTTCATGTCAGGATGGCACACATGCATAGCAATGTCTGTTACTTGAAAGACACATCTGTAAAATGTGTGAAGCCCTGCTATGATATTGCTGGAATATTGTTAAAAGCTGTGTGAAACTAAAACCACACTCACTCACTACTTGAAAGATGTTTTCTCAAAAACTGAAGCACAGAAGTGATTTATATTTCTACAAATCTGTGTCCTTCAGCCATACGAGAAAACTTTGACAGTGGGTTTGAATCCTGGTTCCCCCAGTTACGTTTCTAGGTTTGCCTGCACCATAACCGTGCTCATGGATTTCACCAAAGTGGTACATTTTTTATACCTCCATCACTGCCATCTCACAACAACCTGACATGCAGTGATATATCTGGAATACTGTTCAAAGCAACATAAAATCTCAAATCACTCACTCATTAAAATCAGATCTTTTTACCCTGTCACTGTACCTCGGCTTTAAGATCTCAGGACAGCTCCTGAGGAGAGAATCTCCACCACCCAGTCTAAAACAAATACATGGGTTCTTCGGCCAATCTGGCGTCAGTTCTAGGGGTGGTGGGGTAACCTAGTGGTTAAAGCATTCCCTTGCCACGCCAAAGACCCAGGATTTGGAACATGGGCACAATGTGTGAAGCCCATTTCTATTGACCCCCCTCAAGATATTGCTGGAATATTGCTAAAAGCGGTGTAAAACTAAACTCACTCACTCACTGATGTCAGTCTCTAACAACATCCAAATTAATTTCTTTTCAACCTCAAATCAGAGGTTCAATCATAGAATATTCCTCTGTATCACTTCCCAACAAAATCTTCCACTTTGGAGTAAATGTGACAGCATCCTACGAAATACCCTGATGTACAACCCTGTCAGTTCACTCCCTGTATCTCTGCGATGGTTGTAGTTCCAGCGCAGCAGCGATGGGGATGACACAGTCACAGGTGTCGTGGCTCAACAGCCAGAAACAACAGCAGGAGATGCAGAGGACGGCAGATGTCACGTATGGCAGAGGTCAACACCAGCAAGTCTCTGGATAGTAAGTAACCCTCCCTTGCTCCTGATACAGATAGTAACTTCTTCCTAGGAAGGGTTGGTGTGGTAGTACAGTGGTTTCAGTGTCTGCTCATCACACCAGCTCAGGGTTCAATCCTCCACATTGGTCCAGAAGCCTATTTCTGGTGTCTAGTTATATTCCTGGAATATTGCTAAAAACCGTGCAACCATCCTCTCTCTCACACTCTTCCTACGAAGCATTAAGCCCCTTATTGCAATGAAACTTAAGAGATCAGGGCATTGGGGTATCATAGCAGGTAAAGACCTATCGTTTGATATTCTGGTTTTCTGGGGATAGTCAGAGATGTTTTCAATAAAAAGTAATTTCTTCCTGGGTTTTATCCACCCAAAAATGTGAAAAATTAATATCCTTGTATACAAAATTGTTCTTTCTGTTCTGGTGATTTGAAACAAGGATACACTTGTACCCACATGAATTTCTGTATACTCATAGTATTTTTATAATGTAATTATTGTTAATGAAAGCTTCCTAAGGGAGGGTTTTTGGATAAGTGGGGTGCAGACAAGCTGGCTTCCCCTGCATGTAGGTTCCTGTTTTGTGAAATGACAAAAGAGTTTATTTCCTCCAGTCCCCAGCAACACTCGGTGCCGTCGGAGAGTGACCAGGCCAGCAACATATCGGAGTTCTCCAGCCCTGTCCCTACTCCACAGACCCCACAGGGATACTACCACCACCCTCAACAACACCAGCAGCAGCTACAACAGCAACATCCACAGCAACAGCAGCAACACCCACAACAAGGTCAATTTTATGGCGGAGGCCTGCTTGGCGAGAACCATTATGTTGATGATGCTTCAGTGAGTGGTAACCGTGGCAATGCTGTTTTTTTAAATACTCAGATATGATGGTCACTGCTAGATAGGGGGAAAAGAAAATATCCTATAGGATTCCTGAGATGAAAAAAGTGTATTGTCATGGAATTACAACATCAGTTTTCGAAAATAAGAGAATAATTGACTAGGTATCAAAACTGTGTAAACAGAAGTAGTGATTTCCACAGTGCCAGATTATTAAGACATGCGTCCACTAAGTCAAACTCTGTTCTCCTATCCCCGTTCTGTCTTGTCAAGTGATGACCTCTTTGGATACAGCGTGTCCTTGAGAACAGGAGGTTTATGGTTTAAATGAATAATACATGAAATGGTCAATGTAATTGGGTATAAGTTCTAAGATCATTGGCGTGTCCCCAGCTAACTTCATGTTTGCAGATTCATGTAGATTTCAAGACTTAACCCATCTTGTAGCTAGTGTTGGATATATTACTGAATGTCTTCCTCTGGCAGTGACCAGTCACGTCGGAGTAGTTCCTTAGAGGAATGCATAATCCTCTTACACTTAAGTTCTCTCCTGCTGAAACTTATCTGTGAAATGTGTTGCTATATGCTGCTCAACTTTCAACTAGGATATTTCACATTAAGGAGTTATTTTTTTAAAAACTAGGAGTCAGGCCAATGTATAGATTTGTTGTTTGATCTTTCTGTCATTTATTTCCTCTGGCTGCTGAGTCCATATGAACATGTAATGTAGGTGGTCTAAGTATGTGCAAAATATATGCAATATGTCAGTATATGTATCCATTTCAAAAGTAGCATATTTGACCAGGAAGTCAAAATTCATGATTAATCACAGTGATTTTCATAATGTTAGGAGCCTGTGTTGAAAGTGGTATCATTTGAATAAAACAACATTTTCTGAGTATTGCAGTGTTTCAGAAAGAGAACCTTCTGCCATGAAAACTTAAACTAAGTGTTTGTCTCAATTTATTGACAATTTACCATAACATATATTGGTCGTTTCCTTTTTGTGCTCTTATTACAAAACATGTTGGGGCTTTTCAAAAGACTGAAATCTATACAAATAACAATTTGCTTTCTTCCTCTTTGAAATTGACCAAAATTACAAGTTTCACAAGAAAATAGTTTGTTTTGAAAAATATTTTATTTAGATTATGACTTATAGTATTTTCAGACATTCAAATGATCTTCATGTTTTTGTATTACCATAAATGCCCGTCTGGAGTTGGCGTAGTTGCATCAGGAATGTACGAGAATGAAACTATCCATTGTCAGTACTTCTCAAGTTTGTTTAAACTCCATCACACCGGATTATATGTGGCTGATTTGTAGTTTTAAGTAGTGACGTATGTCTCAGCATCCAGATTACAAGTTCATGCACCAAAAATGGACATTTATTAGCTCACTGAATAGAGACAAGGGCCGTGACTGATACATTGCCGTTGTTACAGTTTTATAGAATGAAGCTACGGAGATATTGATAACAGAAACAAGTATTTCATTTCATAATTAATTCCACAGTTATTTTTCAATAAGAAGTTCAGTCATCAGTTTCTGACAGCAGCAAAATACATACTTTAACATCTGTTATATTTAGGATTGCACTTTGATAACAGATGCCACATTTGACCACTTTCAAAAAGTCATTATGTATTCAAGTAAGCCAAATTAACTGACATACATTTCTGGAGGTACAGAAGAGTATCTTAGAATTTAGCATGAATTGACTGTTTTCAAATGTATCGTATTTAAGACAATATTCTGACATCCCTGACAAACAAGTTCCTGTTGCTGGTCTTGCAACTGAAGATTTCTAGGACGATGTGTACCAAGTAGACAGTATCTTTTTCTGCATGATATTTATAGATATTTACACCATACCTTCTTACATTTTGCATGACTGTTGCTTATTGTAACAATCTGCAAGGATTTGTATTTTCTCTGACTTCAATAACAGTTTCATAATTATCTATCTGTTAAATGCATTGTTCTTGGTATAGGCAAGGAAATTCATTTAATGAACAATATGCATGTAAACTGTCAATCGAAAACAGTCTTTATGAATTAAGAGTCAGTCTTTGTTTTACAATATTGAATAACAATCATAAGATAAATGAAAGGAACTTTATTGTTAAACTTTAATGTTTAAAATGTTTTTCTGAAAATATTCCTTCATCATATAGTCTGATAAGTTTGAAGAAAATTTAAAGGACTTCAAATAAATCCTGAAATTAAAGTGTTTATTTTCACCTACAGGCCAGGCACCATATTGTCCACCCCCAGTCAGTAAGTGAACCAATCAATGGCTAGCACTGTAGTAGTGAATACAACTAGTTATTGTCCTAGATATCATTCAAGCTCATTAAGATTAGATCTTAGTTCTCACTATAGCTTAACAAAGAACTAAGCACATTCCATGACAGGTCACAACAGAATGACCTTGCATCCGATCAATGAAAGCATCTCTTTCCAGATTGGGAAAGTGAAAATCGAATGTGCTTTCTATTAATGCAATAGTAAAAGATAACAAGTGATATCCCAACAACAATCATGGGCTGTACGACTCACTCTCCCTTTCTCTCTCTCTCTCTCTCTCTCTCTCTCTCTCTCTCTCTCTCTCTCTCTCTCTCTCTCTCTCTCTCTCTCTCTCTCTCTGTGACTGTGACTCTTGCTCTCTCTGTGACTATCTGGTGACTATCTCTCTGTGACTTAACTATCTAGTGACTTTTTCTCTGACTCTTGCTCTCTCTGACTATCTAGTGACTATCTCTCTGTGACTCTGTGACTCTTGCTCTCTCTCTGACTATCAAGTGACTATCTCGCTGTGACTCTGACTATCTAGTGACTCTGTGACTCTTGCTCTCTCTCTCTGACTATCAAGTGACTATCTCGCTGTGACTCTCTGTGACTCTTGCTCTCTCTCTCTGACTATCAAGTGACTATCTCGCTGTGACTATCAAGTGACTATCTCGCTGTGACTCTCTGACTATCTAGCGACTATCTCTCTCTGACTCTTGCTCGCTCTCTCTGACTATCAAGTGACTATCTCGCTGTGACTCTCTCTCTCTGACTCTTGCTCTCTCTGACTATCAAGTGACTATCTCGCTGTGACTGTCCCTCTCTGTGACTCTTGCTCTCTCTGTGACTCTTGCTCTCTCTGACTATCCAGTGACTATCTCTCTGTGACTCTCTCTCTGTGACTCTTGCTCTCTCTGTGACTATCTAGTGACTATCTCTCTGTGACTCGCTCTATGACTGTGTGACTCTCTCACTCTCTGATTCTATCTCGGTGACTCATAGTGACTATCTATGTCTGACTCTCTCTCTGTCTCTCTCTCTTTCTCTCTTGTGAAATGTTTTGTGATCGGTGAATGTCTACATCTTGTTAGTCATTCCACTGATCAGTCAAAGTTCATGCAAGGTTGATCTGGTGTGACCCGTATGGGGATGTCTTCAGAGTTTTGTTTCACGGTAGCGAGAACTAAGATCGAGTCTTAATGAGACTGACATATCATTGTATTTGACTGTATATCCCACGTCCTGTGTTGTGTCATCTGTTCTTGGTGGGTAGGTAGACCTGTATTGTACTACACAGTAGCAGTTCAACATCACTGTCAGGGTTTACATTAATGTCACACAGAATATTTTCAGTTTGTGTTTTTGTAGAGCATGTCTTCCACCAGTCTTCGTATTTGTGATATTAATGCCGCTTTGAACAGTGTATCTGGAAATAGGAAAGCTGGGTTCAAAGCTGTGGTTCCTCGCTCTGCAAATTTGCCACCAGGTTTCTGCTGCATATTGCTCTTCAGAGTTATGTCCCCTGGCTGTGCCAGTATCTGTTAATCAAGCTTCAATCCAAGATCTCCAATACTTGTAAGATGTCAGCAAGCTACCTGTTCTCATGGTTTGTTCAACTTCCCACTAATAGGGCACCTGTCAGATAACATGAAATGTATATATGATTTTATGATTAATATTTCCTTTTAGTGGAGCAGATAACTGTAACAATCGTTCACTTCCAGAAACAAGCACCAAACTTGGCACACATACTCTTGGGGGATTGCTCTTTTGATAAAACCTGTTAGACACCTAAAAATTCAATTTCATATTGGCATAGGAACATCAGAACTACTTCAAACAGGAACGAAAACTCTATTCCTGTTTGATTCCAATGGTACTTAATATCACCAAAGTACTCATACATTGTATTGCTGTTTTTGTTTTTGCTTATTGTCCGCAACGTGGAACGGGGGACGATGTATTCAGCGCCGTACGTACGTCCAGAGTCTTGTTAACGCAATATCTCATGAACTGTTGTACCCAATGTCTTCAAATTTTGTGACAGCCTACATTGGGGGATTACGCAAATTTGGTGACAGCCTACATTGGGGGATTACGCAGACACCAGTCGATTTGGGTGACCTTGACCTTATTTTCAAGGTCACCACGACACTGACCACTTTTCAAACTCTTGTTAACGTGATATCTCATGCACTGTTGCATCCAATATCTTCAAATTTGGTGACAGCCTACATTGGGGGATTACGCAGACACCAGTCGATTTGGGTGACCGTGACCTTATTTTCCAAGTCACCGCGACACTTTGACCACTTTTTAAACTCTTGTTAACGCAATATCTCATGAACTGTTGTACCCAATGTCTTCAAATTTGGTGACAGCCTACATTGGGGGATTACCCCGACAGTCGATTTTGGTGACCTTGACCTTATCTTCAAGGGCACCACGACACTTTGACCGCTTTTCAAACTTATTTAAATGCGATATATCATAAAACATTGCACCCAATGTTTTTAAGTATGTTGACAGCCTACATTGGGTGATTATGCAGACACCAGTCATTTCAGGCATCTTGTATGTGACCAAAAAATGAAAAGTAGTGAATATAGATATTCCCTTCTTTAGCGGCGGGGGACATTGCCATATCAGTGGCAAACAATTGTTTATTTTAAAGAATTAAACCTCCTTGGTACAACTAAAAGAAAGACAAAAACATATTTGTTAAAGACATATTCTAATTATTACCAGATGTTCACCGTATATTTCCTATTATATTTCTGAAAAAGGTTTAATAATTGAAATGGGATTTGTTATCCCCCGCTTCATCTGTACGTGCGAATTGGAATATCTTAAGAGCCATTGACTAGACTCTTTTCATATTTGGTACCTAGATCCATCACAGTATGAGAAAGGTCCCAGTCATGTTTGGTGACCTGGACCTTCATTTCAAGGTCACAAGGGGACTTTAACATTTTACCCTTGGGTGAGATATGGACTTTAACATTTTACCCTTGTGAGTGAGATATCTCAAGAACCGTTCACAGGATTCTCTTCATATACAACACCAAGCTTCATCTAGGGAAGATGCAGGGCCCAGTCGATTTTGGTGACCTTCACATAATTTTCAAGGTCACAGTGACACTTTGAAGATTTCAGCATGTTAACCTGCATGTTAAGCTTGTCAGCAAGATATTCACTGGATTTTTCTTCATATTTGACTCCAAGATTCATGTAGGGAAGACGCAGGGCCCAGTCGATTTCGTGACCATTTCCACGCTAGCAGCATGCTCAAGGCGCAACAGTCAAAAAGTACATAGGAAGGGATGATGACAGTGTTAGTATGATTCGTAGAACTGGCGGAAAAGATAGGTTTGAGACTCTTTTTGAATGAATCAGATGTTGGAGAAAGTTTAAGTTCTTGGGGAAGAAATTTCCACATGTAGGGGGCATAATGTTCAAAAGATCTCTGACCAAAGGACTTGAGTTTGTATTGTGACAATTTCAGTAGGTTCTGGTGTTGAGTTCTTAGTTCCCGTGCTGGGGCATAGGCTGATATCAGCTCTGATATGTATGGAGGAGATTGCTCGTGCAGAGATGTATATGTCAGACAGAGAATTTTGAACTGGATCCTTGCTCTTATTGGAAGCCAGTGGAGATTTCTAAGATTTCTTTGAGGTGAGGGTCACGATTCGTGCTGCCGTATTTTGCCCCTTTTGACATCAGGGAGTCCTACATAGAGGCAGTTACAGCAGTCAAGTCTACCCAGTATCAGGCATCTAGCTAGACAATTAGCAGCTTCCATGGTGATCAAGGGACGAATATTCCCAATCACTCGGAGATTCCAGTAGCAAGTCTTACAGACGTTATTAACCTGAGCTTCCATGGAAAACTTTGGGTCCAGCAGGACACCAAGATCTTTGACAGTCTTTGCTAACTGAAATTCCCGTGTCTGAAACATTAATGGTGTGTATGTCCACCTTTTGGAGCTGCTGCTTGGTTCCGAAAAGGATCGCTTCAGTTGTATCGCTGTTCAATTTGAGTTTGTTTGTGGTCATCCAAGATTTCAAGGACTTGGACAATCGGCTATATCATGGAGAGCTTCAGGTGAGTTCTGAGGACGAAATTGGTTGTACAATTGACAGTCATCAGCATAGGAGTGATGAAGGAGACAGTGCTGTGAGATGATGTTTCAAGTACTGCCACAGTAGAGGACGAATAGCACTGGACCTAGAACAGATCTTTGCGGGACACCATACTGCAAGTTAATAGTGGATGACTTGTCATTTCCAATCATTACAAATTGTGATCTTCCATGAATGTATGAAGATATCCACTGCAGCGCGCTGTCCCGTCGATACCATACTGATGCTGGAGTCTGTCTAGAAGAATGATTATTTAACCAAAAACATAATGCCATAAACGATTTAAGTAGTCGGGATTTTTTTTATCAAAGCACCGCAATAATTACGCGTGTTCTGATTGGTTTGTCGTATTTTTGCACATAACAAGCATCGAGACGGGGACGAGTCTTCTTGGAGGTTACGGAAAGGGGCAAGTGGTGACGAATGGCATTTCGCAATAAAATCGCAGAGACATGTCCTATTTAAAACGATCTTGGTGTCAAATCTTACATGTTTTAATATGTAGAATCCAAGTTTTGAACCTTGAACTCATTCACTGGCTTCCTTGTACCATATATCAGTCCCAAAATCCAAATATTCTGCAAAATAAGAGGTTCACGCTACATCTGACTCTTCTCAAATGTATGGTAATTTATGTCGCAGTTACGTTTGGGGTTTTGTATGTGAAGCATCTTTTTGTGCAAGGCTTTCAAACTGGACATGTGTGCCAGTTTTGGTGCTTGTTTATAGAAATGAACAATTCTCTTGAAAGTTTCAGTTATCTGCACTATTATTTGTAACATTTGTTTATTTCTATATAAGTTATAATACATTCCATATCATTACCCTGTTATGAATTATACCAGGGAAGATCCGGGTTAGAATTGGTCTTCAGCAACCCATGCTTGTCGTAAGTGGTGACTAACGGGATCAGGTGGTCAGACTCACTGACTTGGTTGACACATGTCATTGTATCCCATTTGTGTAGATTGATGCTCATGATGTTGATCACTGGATTGTCTGGTCCAGACTTAATTATTTATAGACTGCCACCATGTAGCTTGCACATTGCTGAGTGCGGCGTTAAACAACAAACCAACCAACCAATTTAGGATACACAGATACAGCATTTGTTACATGCACTGGAATTTTTTTGAAGAAAATTCTGAATGGGACACTTTTTACTTCATGCTTAAATTTGACATGTTTAAATCATATCAAATGCTGATGTAGAATAACATTGTTACATTTTTGTGCAGATGAGTTTTATCAGAAGCAAGGTTTGGAAATTACCATAAGTTATCAAATTCTGGAGGAAAAGTGACATTTCCTTGTGGGCTTCCATTCATACCATAAGCTAGGTGTCACATCTATGACAGATCATGACTGGTGAGAGAATTTAAGAGCTTTAAGTTCCCCTTGCCTTCTCACTATACTCATTGTTTAGGACTTTTGAAAAATAGAACTTCAAATCGAAAAACAAAAATTTTGCATTAAGAAGTTTATTCCACATGATGACATCAATTGTTTTTAAATATAATGGTCAGTTGGTTGTATGCCTCCCTGCATTCTGTTAGCCGAGAGCCGCGTCTATGCATCCTGCACAGTGAAAACATGACCCAGCGTTTGGCTACATGACTGTGAGCCACCTAGCACAGCTGTGACTGGTGGCACTGATTATACAGAGAGCTCCACGAAGGGGCTTTTGATGTACAGAGCTTGCAATCTTAAAGGTCACATGCAACCAAAAAATCAAACATAATTAAAACACAATTATCACTTCTTCATGACATATTATATGCATTGCTGATTATGAAAAAACAAATAAACAAAATTATAAGCGTATAATCGCAAATCAAAAGTGAAATATTTTGTACTTGGGTTTATCGCCCTCGAAACGAAGCAGCCGGGATACCGAACCCAGTCAGAGTGGGTGGGTGTGCACTCAAGTGTAACAGCTGGTTCATTAGCAGATGCCGCCTTCACGGGTCAGTGTGTGTGTGTATATAGAAAGTTGGGTTTTGTAAATACATGCTCATTTTTTGTGTATAACATTTTGCAATCAACAGACATCATAACATGTCATGTGTTCAAGTATCACACCTGCCTGTCTGTGTAATTACATAATGTGACAGAGACCGAACTCGGGCCATAAATCAATGCGTTTTGTTTATGGTGTATAGCCTGATTGGTGTTAAGTTCAAATTGCATGTGGTCAGTGATGCGCGGTTGTGTATTGAATATTGTCATTAGCAGACAGGCAGGCAGACACACTGGTGTCAATAAAACAAGACATTGAGTTTTGTCTGTGACAGCGACATATCTATATCACAGTTAGAAATCGTGTCAACGCTAAATAATGCTTTTAAGTATCGAACTGAGAAAGTGACTCGGTGAGAAGAACGTGTGGTGAAATAGACAAAAGAAATTATATAAACAGTTTATTTACTGTCATAACATACAAAAAGCTCTCGCCTGTGAGATATCAACAAAACATTATGAAACTAGCTCACACCAAAGCCTTCACAGAGTATTCAACAGACAGCCCGCTTCCAAGTTGCGCGAACCTATTTCACTGCGCACGTGCTATGAGCGCAGCCAGCTGCTGAAACCCGTATTCCCCAGAAAAGTCTGGGGAAAATTAGTGAAACGTTTGAACTCCGCGTGTTTTTTTTCATCGCGTTATTTTTCAACTTTATAAGTTGAATTTGCATTTTTGACGCTTTGTCTCGGTAAGTCCATACCGAAAGGTATCAGAATCTGCAAAGTTGTGTTTTACGTTGCATGTGACCTTTAAGTCCTTGTAGGGGTAGGTAAATCTAGACACTGAGTGACAAGGGCAGGCAACTCCAGCCACATCATGATAAGGGCAGGTAAGTCTTTCTAACTTTATTGGCATGGCAAAATGTGCCTTTTTCAATGGTAAGTAGATCTGGAGTGAATTTGGTTAATAGATATTTACTACTTGTGCATATTTTATTTGAAAATGGTACAAATATGGCCACTTTTATTTTTCACACAGCAGTGTGTTTAGTTCTTTGGCAGACTGGGGGAGTGAGTAATTAATGTTCTAGCATTTAGTGTTTGCTTTGGGTTTTGTTGCAGTCGGATGTCAACAGTCACCAGGGGTACTGAACAACTACGCCCCCTCGACACCCAGCACCTGATCTTAACATCCTGTTGCCGTACATCATACATCTTCGCCCCCTTGACACTCAGCAGCTGCTCAATAATATTCACAGACATTCATCCCATTAAAGTAACAAGTGTTATTATTGCATTGTGTTTATTGCTCACGTGTTCGAGACATTAGCTCATGAAGAGACTATAAACAGAGAAAAGTAACTAAATTTGATAAAGTTTAACTAGCTGTGGCTTCTAGCCTAAACATAAATGACTTTATTTGGTTTTATGGTCAAGAGTGAGTTTGGTTTTACGCCTCTTTTAGCAATATTCCCGCAATATCACGGCGGGGGACACCAGCAATGGGCTTCACACATTGTACCCATGTGGGGACTCGAACCTGGGTCTTCGGTGTTACAAGCCAACGCTTTTACCACTCTGCTACCCCACCACCCCTTATGGTCAAGATGACTTGGCATAGAGAGTCATGTTCCATGGTGCAATCAGGGCATGACAAGATAATACTGGAAAAATATGGTTAAAAGTGGTGATAAACCCAACTCACTCACTCTGGGTTATATCGTCAAGTAAGTATCAGTCTACACAGCCAAAACAGTGGAGTCATAACTCTAACATGAACTGTGAAATGTTTGCTTTCAAGTTTGGAATATTTGCTGCAGATTTGGGGCTGAATATCGACAATTGCACAAGCATAGATATATATATCTCCGCTTATGTTGATAGGTGAAGCATCTCTTTTCTTTTGAGAGACTTTAAATGGAAATTTGGCAGCTAAATCATGCTGTTTTATCTGCTGGTGTTAAAGTGGAGTAACAAATCATGAAGTTAAAACCTTGTATATCATAGAATGTATGGAAGTAAAGTTGAACCCTGTTGTCTCGATCACCTATGTATCTAATCCACAGTTATGTCGACGTCATAGTCCCCGCCTTGCTGATTCTTTCTATATTATCACAGTTTAAACAGAGGTTTTGAATCGCTGTATGTCTTAAACTCATTGTCACAATACACCTTCCCCTGATATGTCATAAACGTAAGTCATCAAAAAAGTTTTGACCATAAGTCATTGAGTCCAAGTCGCCATGATCGTCCATTAATATCAATAACATGCATGTACATGCAAAAATAATGAAACTATAAAGATAAATAATTGTATTTGGTGATGCTTAGTTGCTAATTTCACATCTTTCTCTCATTCCTTAAGAGACAACAGGGTTTGACAGTGCTTGAAAATTGATCAACAATCTACCAAGTGTATTTAAATTTGTAATTTAGGACTTGTTCTGATCCACTGTTCGTAAACCTGCATCACAAACTCACACGTTTCATGTTAATTTGGGTTAAGATCACACTTTTTAAAATTCATTCATTGACTGTTCATTAAAAAGAATATCATAGATGAGATCATCTGTAACAGAATATCATGCTATTATTGAAATGTTGATGAATCTAAACGATCACCGGCATGAATTCCTGTTGTTTAGAAAACTCTAGTCATTCAGTACATTATATACTACTCAAAAGGCATTAAGGATCAAATGATTCTTTCATATTACGATAATTAATTGTTAATTGTTCATACCATGACAGATTAACTATGGTAATATGAAAGAATCCTTACCTTATTTTGAGTAGTATACATGAGCAAGTTTGGTATTGTTGTATGTGTTTATGTAAGTTTATTACATTCCATTGTAAAGTTATTGACTTTTAGTTTATCATCATGAAAAATTCCTTCCCTATCCTTTTTTATTTAAATATTTATGACTGTACAATTATTATCCCCCTCAAAGCGTTTTGCGGGGGGTATTAAAATGGACTCCGTCCGTGCGTCCGTCAGTCCGTCCGTGCACATTTGTCTTTTCCGGAGCATAACTCTAGAACCCTTCAATGTTTCTTCACCAAACTTGGCACATAGATAGAGACTGGTGGTGAACTGGTGCCTTTTGGTGGTTTTGGAATTCTGAATAAAATATTTTTGGCGTTTCCATGGCAACAAGCTTGACTTAGACTGAAATTGGTGGTAGTGCTCTTTTTCCGGAGCTGAACTCTAAAACCGTTCACTATTTCTTCACCAAACTTGGCACATAAATTGGTCTGGTGGTGTACTGGTGCCTTTTGGTAGTTTTGGAATTCTGAATAAAATATTTTTGGCATTTCCATGGCAACAAGTTTGACATAGACTGAAATTGGTGATAGTGCTCCTTTCTGGAGCAGAACTTTAAAAACCTTTCAATACTCTCATTCCTCTTTTCTATATACACACCTAAATATTTGACATAATCATAACTCGTAGACATAATCATGAAGAGTATTTTGCCATTGCGGGGGATATTGATGACTTTGTCTTCTTGTTTTAATTTATTATACACTTGTTTAGTGTATCAGTTGAGTTGGAATAAAGTTCTATCATGTCAGAAGTATTTATTGATTGTTTTCTTTGATTTTGTCAGTCTTGCACTCACATCATTACAACTTACTGGTACCTATAGTATGGACCTATACTACCATTCATAAGTTTAGACTCACCAGTGTAAATGTAGTCACTTACTTCAGTCAACTGTTCTAAACTAGATTTTGCAAAATATTCCCTTCTGTTTAAAGGTACTGTTTACACATGAACTGAGGTATTGTAAAATATATTCGTAACGCTGAAACGATTTTTGTCAAGAGTTCAATAAATGGTCATACTCAGTGAAAATTGGCGAATTCTTAACAAACGTTTACACCAAAACGCAGCTGTTCATATGCACGATACTGGCACATGCTTTTCAGTCATTTAATCAGAGACCATATACCGATATGGTCTCTGATTTGATGCATGATCCTTGTGCAATTCATCTGCATAAGTTTTGCAGTTGGTTCCCCACGTTAGTGGAGAAATTCATCTTCGATGTAACCATATATATATACATATAGTGAGTGCTTGACCACCAAGTGAGTGAGTTTAGTTTTACCCGCACTCAGCAATATTCCAGCTATATGGCAGTGGTCTGTAAATAATGAAGTCTGGACCAGACAATCCAGTGATCAACAGCATGAGCATCGATCTGCGCAACTGGGAACCGATGACATGTGGCAACCAAGTCAGCAAGCCTGACCACCTGATCCCGTTAGTCGCCTTTCATGAGAAGCATGGGTTACTGAAGATCAATGTTCTAACCCGGACCTTCATGGGTCTCACCACCAAGTGACAGCTAGTTTTACATTCACATTGTACTAGTGAAGATCCAGGTTAGAATTGGTCTTCAGCAACCCATGCTTTGTCTTAAAAGGATTGCTGACTTGGTTGACACATGTTTTCATATCCCAATTGCATAGATTGCTGCTCATGCTGTTGGTCCCTGGGACCGCCTCCGTGGTGTAGTGGTTAGAGCGTCCGCCCAGAGAGCGAGAGGTCGTGGGTTCGATCCCCGACCGCGTCATACCAAAAAGACGTTAAAATATGGTACTTGTTGGTCCCTGCCTGGCTCTCGGCATTAATGGGTACAACAAGGACTGGTCGGCTCGGAGTCAGTATAATGTGTCTGAGTGGGGTATTCATGCTTCACTGCGGCATGGCATCTCAGTGGGCTAGCACTATAAAACCAGCTTCAGTCTGGGCTAGTACAAGCAGCCACACATACACATACACACGCATACACGTGGTCATATGAGCGAAATATTCTCAAGCACGACGTTAAATCCAATTTCACCTCACCTCACCTGTTGCTCCCTGGAGTGTCGGGTCAAGACTCAATTATTTAGAGACGTCGGACGCCACACAGATGGAATACTGTGTAGTGCAGCATTAAACAACAAGCACACAAAACAAACAAGCTACATGGATTTCCATGGTTTCAAGGAAATGTCAGGGCTGCCCTAATTTTCTCATGTCTAACAAATAAATATGATATGTATGCTGCTTGGACAAACTACAGGCATAACATTCACATCGCCTCACATTCTACCAGGTAACTTTCGATTGAGAACACACATTTCATAACCCTTGTTCCTCTGTGCATGGAACTCTCATGCATCATTCTTTTAGATCATGGCATTGCTCAACTTTTCCACATTAGGGATTGTGTGGTATGTAATTGTGTGTCCGTTGTCATTACAGCTTTATGGGGCAGCAAAGTGGTGGAGTTCAGAGGTTGACTTGTAATGGACCTAAAATTAAATAATATCATTGCATAATGTTATGATAGTATGAATATACTCTTGACAACTCTGATATATATTTGCATCAGGACCAGACAATCTACTGATTAGTATGACAAGCATGAAGTTGACAATTAGCCAGAACTTGGTTGTAAAAAACCCTCATTTATGAATGGTTTCAATTTGAAACTAAGGCTTTATGAGACCTCTGCATTTTATCACCTTATTAGAGTGTATATGTGTTTGTTGTCCCAATGCTCAATTTTATTACACATTAGATAATGGAGTTTTAATGACATTTATTTGTATTGATACAACCTAATCCAAGTTGCCAAGACCACCATCTAGTCATCTCTTACAACAAAATCAGGGACCCATTATCATAATAATCAAATATGAATCTGTCAAAAATATGTCATCATTTTCCAATTAATTCCAAGACGAACTGTATTTCATCTCTGTTGATCAACGTAAGGATACACCCTTGCATGACCAATTACTCTTGCGGGTGGCGCAGCAGAGGTCTGAAACTAGTCAAGAATTCTGGGATATCATCCAGGTCCTTGCAGGAAAAATACAATAACAAAAACAACAACCAGTCCCTGGGAATTGCTCTAGATCAGTGTTCTTTAATGTATACATTCATTTGATAGAGTTATGAGATAAATTATCAACAAACAAACTTTAACAAATATTAATCCCAATTGAACTGAAAGAGATTCACTTGAAAATAACTTACATGATTGTGTATCATGTATGCACCAGATTTCAGTGATCTGACAGGAATAAAGCCTGAAAATATTGGAACACAACACAGTTTTGATAAGCAGGCTTAACTCTATACACATCAACATAAATTTACACGTATATAATCACCTGAATGC